CAGGCGGTGAGCTGTACGCGGAGGTCCCCAAAGTTGCACCCTGTCCGAAGCGTTCAATTTCGAAAGCCCTCGAGGGGGGAGGCGAACACAGGTGCCCATGACAGACAGTGAGTGCAGGGGGGACCCCGCTGTCCTTCTTGCACACCTCCAACCAGCAGCAGCTACGGCACACGAGAGCAGCAGCGGCTGCTGCAGCTGCGGCGGCAGCTGCAGCTGCTGCTGTCCTGACAGCGCTCACTCCGAGCGGAAACACACGCTTCCTTCCAAAAAATCGCGTCCGTCGTTTCACACGTGGGGGGGTCGCTGCACCACGTTGGTGCAACTCCGCAGCATACACCTCAGCAATTCCTGCTGCAGCGGCAGCGGGCATGGAACCAGCAAACCCTCTCCCGTTCTTGGGGCCCCTTGGGGTGTCTCATAACGATAAGGGCGAGGCGGCTGCTCATGATGCTGTGCAGCATCATGAGCAAAAGCAGCAGCAGCAGCGGCAGGCTCTGGCAGCAGCAGACTCTCAGGACGCGACCATTCAAGGCGAGCTGCCCGCTGCAGCAGCAGAAATGCAGAAAGAAGAGGCGGAAGCAGAAGCGGCAGCTCTCGGAGCAAAGGCAGCTGCAGAAAGCTGCGTAGTACAAGAGGCTGCTCAGGGTGTATCGGCAGTAGCAGCTGCATCTCCTAGCCCCTCCAATGCAGACTACGTCAAATCCTTCCCCGACAAAGAAGGCCTTGACGCGGCTGTAGCTTGTGCCTCAGCGGGCAAGAAAGCAGTCGCTTCGGCTGCAGCTGCTCCTGAAAAGGAAGCAGCACCATGTGCAGATGCAGCAGCAGATGCACAGGCAGCAAGGGACGGCTGTATTTCCTGTCCGGAGGGCACAAGGTCGTTGTTTCCTATGGAGGAGTCGGGGGAAGCCTCAAGCTCTTCTTCTGCATCCGCACAGCTAATAACGAACGCTTCCCTTGCAGGAGGAGGGGCAGCAGCAGCAGCTGCACCAAGGCAGGCAATGCGGCAGCGGCCTTACGCTGTATCGCTGAATATGGGGGCTGCATGCGATGAGCGGCTACAAACTCGCGTTGCTCTCCTCTCTTCAGCGGAAGATATTCGAACGTACATCAATGAGGCGTTCCTTCCGTTGCTGCAGCAGGCGCGGCTGCAGCTGCATCGCAAGCGCATGATGCAGCAGCAGCAAGAGCGAGAGCAGCAGCAAGAGCAAGAGCAACAGCAGCAGCAAGAGCAAGAGCAACAGCAGCAGCAAGAGCAACAGCAGCAGCAAGAGCAAGAGCAAGAGCAGCAGCAAGAGCAAAAGCAGCAACAACAGCAAGAGCCAGAGCAACAGCAGCAAGAGCAGCAGGAGGGGCAGACTGTGTCAGGAAAGCAGCAGCAGGAGCAGCAGCAGAAGGCTGAGGAGGAGGAAGATGCGCTGAAGCTGTCAAAACTTGTTTCTTCTCCCCTTGAGGGGGGTTCTCCTGACGTGGTCTTAGCGGGTGCACAGAAGGGATCTTTGTTTTTAGCGCGTGGAGCGCAAATTGCAGCTACGAAGGAGGAAGCGGAGGAGAAGCAGCAGCAGGAGAAGACCTTTCAGGGGGAGGATTTCTTGCATCCTGTGAATAGCCTTCCGCTGCATTGCCGAAGGGTCAAGCTGTATGAAGTGGATGCAGAGACTGGCAATTGGATAGACAGAGGCACTGGTCATTTCTTCGTGGTGGATGGAGCTGTTCCCGATATTCCAGAAAGAGATTCTGTCGCTTCTGCTGCAGCGGCAGAAGGGAGCAGCCGTGTGCAGGGCGATGACGGCTTGGGGAGTCGCTTGATGGTGCAAGAGGAGGAGAACGAGCTCCTTGTGGTGGATAGCGTGATCTGCGGAAATACGCTGTATCAGCATCAGAAGGAAAGCATCATTACGTGGCAGGAAGGTCGCCAAGGGGACTATTACAGAGCCCTCTCCTTCCAGCATCCGCACGGCTGTTTTGCCTTGTGGACGTACATCTACTTGCTCTCCCCGGATGCATGCGCTGGGAGCATGAGCGATGAGGAAGACGACGAGGAGATGGACAGTGAGGGATCCGCAGTGACTGCCTCGGGGAGAGCTGACAGCAGCAGCAGCAGCCTTGGAGGAGGCGTGAGCGAGGGGGGTTTATGGCTGCGAGACGAAGAGGGAGAGAGGCCTACGCGTGTGTTGGGAGTTCCTTGTGTCGCTTCGCTTTCGCTCCTAGCTCAACGGATCGACTACGATCTCCAGCATCCGCAGCGGAATAGGGAGGCTTTGCAGGATATTCGCAACAGAACCTGGCTGCGTGGGTTGTTTCGCCTCATGAGGGACCTAATGCAAACGCGTGCAGAGGGCGAAGGCGAGGGGACCCCTCAAAGTGCTGCATCTACCACTGGCGGGAACAATAATAGCAGCAGTAGCAGCAGTACTAGTAGTAGTAGCAGCAGTACTAGTAGTAGCAGCAGTAGCAGCAGTACTAGCAGTAGTAGCAGCAGCACTAGTAGTAGTAGCACTAACCATGTGACAGCGCCTTCATTGGGGACTTGTATTAGCCAGGAAGCTGCCGCAGAGTCTCTGCAGCAGATGGCGCTCATTATTCGGAAGATGTTGGTGGCGTGGACAGGGCAGCTGGATGCGCTGGAAGTCTTTTTGTCGGACGAGTTTTGGATTGATGTGTTGCACTGTCTGGAGCACGAGCGCGAGTTGGCGTCTCAGGGGATGGCTCTGCCGCACACGGCTTTCTTCAAACGCGTGCAGTTTCACGAAGTTTTAAGTCCTCAGCAGCAGCAGCAACACGAGCTCTTCCTGCAGCATGTGCATCTGCATTACAGGCTGATGTATCTCCGCGATGTCGCCCTTACGCGCTACATCGACGAGGCGTCCATTGCGCAGCTGCAGTCTCTCTTGGCGTCCAACGGTCACACCATCATCAGCCTCCTCTCGCAAGTTTCGCCGCTGCCTTCACCCACTTTAAGTCCCTCCAGCAGCTCTGCAGGCCCCTCCCCCGCATGCAGCAACAGCAGCAGCAGCAGCGCGCTCCACCTCCTCAAGGAGCGCGTAGGAACCGACTACTACTGTCTGCTCTTCATCAGAGAACTCCTTTCCCTCCTGCAGCGACTCTCCACTGGGCACCCAGGGATGCTCTGCGCTCCCTGCTACGGGGAGGCTGGAGGGAAAGGCTTCAGGGGGTCTGGGCAGTCGATCTACGGGCTCTGTCTTCAAATCAAAAACTCAGGGCTGATACTGCAGCTAAAGGGGTATCTGAGAGGCGATCCCGAGGCTATGGCTATGTGGACTGAGGTGATTCTGCCGATGAACGCGAAGGCGGAAGGCGTAAGTTCACGCTTTGCTCAGAGACCTCCGGACCCCGCGGTGTCTGTACACTTGCGCAACGAGCGATGGGCGATTCCAGCCGGCGGTTCACCTCCCTCCCTCCGACCGCTGGCTCTGCGTTCATGATGCTTTCGCCGTTTTGCTGCCTTTTCTACTCTCAAGAGGCGGATATCCTCCCTCTCCGCGAGATCGCCCTTCTCTTCTGACTCTTCTGCCGCATCCTCTTGGCCTAGATGTTCATGTGCCCTCTCACAACTCTCCCGTTCAAAAAGAAAGCGCTGTAAACAGAGGCTTCTGCCGGCAGGCGCCGCTAGATATTCTCTTCGTCTTCTGCTAACTGGCCTCTCCTCTCTTCTTCCCCATGGGTGTTCAAACATGCCCCTCCCCCACTTGCTGCACGCGTCTTCTCCCTTGAAAACGTGTCTTCCCCGCGGCATGTCGCTGCTGCCTGCCGATATCGCCCATCCATGACCCTCGCCTCTATCTCCCCCTTGCGCTTCATTCCTTGCCATCCTTCAGCCCTCACCCATATGTACGGTTTCTGTATGTATCATTATGCGTGAAAATATATGTCTATATGTATGTGCATGTGTGAATACGCATGTGTGTACATGTATCTCTACACAAATATGTGGATGATTGTGTTCAAGTCGGAATATGTGTGCATACATAGGTGTATTTGCATACGTACATGTAGGACTCCATATGTGCATGCATGTACTGTGTCTGTACTGTAGTGTGTATTTGTACTTCAGAGTCACGAGCAGCTGGTAAACAGGCTCTTGTCCTCTCCGGATGTCTTTTACCGGCCCAACCCCTTAAACTTTGAATCCTTTACGTATCCGCATCCCTTGACGGTGGCTGTGGAAGTCTTGCAGCTCTTTGCCGAGATCCAGCCTCCCGTCTTTCGCCAGATCCTTTTCCTAGAAGCCGCAGAGCAGCAGCAGCAGCAGCAGCTCCTCCTGCTGCTTTGCCACGTCTTGGGAACCGCCGAAAGTGCTTCCGTCCAAGTCATGGTGAAGGAGATACTTCTGCGCGTCGTGTGTGCCCTCAACATGGAACTGCCAGAGAAAGATGAGGTCAACACCATCTTTTTCGATAAGGGTGTTCTCGACTACCTCTTACAAATCCTGTTCAAGCAATATACTAGCGATATGCGCGTCGGTACGTCACCTGTGAATTCGTGCATAGACGTACACGTGCCGAGAGTCCACCTCCACAAAGGCATATGCAGAATATAAATATATACAAATATATATATATATATATGTATATATATGTTTATCACATGCATGCACATATAGCACATCTATATTCAGCATATTGATATATGTGTGTAGTACACACAGACAAACACAGACACACAGACAAAGACACACACACAGACAAAGACACACACAAACACACAGACACAAACACACACACTCACTCACAAAATCCCATGATGCATAGCAAGAATGGTAAAGTGCAGCTCGCGTGACAGCACGCATAGGGTGGCACCCTGTACTTTTTTTTCTGGACTGCATGCATGACTTTGTGGTGCGTCATTGCTGCCTCTTCTGGCTATTCGGATACACCAGTTTTCGGGGAGGTTCTTGCAGCATTGCAGCTGTGTCTTGCGTGTCTCCGCATTTCGCGTCTGTGCATGCAGCGGAGCAGCAGCTGCTGCAGCATGCGAAGCAGATGGTCCTAGAAATCTTCTCTCACTGCGTCGCTGTGCATAGGTAATTTGAACGGCAGTTCATTTGCGCCGTGGCGGCATCTGTTGCTGCAGCCCTTTCCTTCCGAACTGACTAACTACTGCTCCTACTACTGCTGTTTTTGTTTTTGTTCTTTTTGTATATATATGCATATATTTATATGTACCTCTTGGGCACCGCTGCAATCCCCGTATTTTCCCCCCGATCTGACAAGTGCTTTCTTCTTCTTTTTCCGTGTGTGTAGAGCCTGTGACTTTGCCGATCTTGCCTTTGGAGCTTCCTGCACAGCCGTTCCCCCTAGCTTTGTGTGTGTCAGGCATAGGCATCTATCTCTCACCCTCTTTGAAAGTTTCTTATCCGTTGCGGCTAACTCCCTCCCCCCCAAGCTGTGCTTGCGTCTGCAGGCACCGCTTCAAGCTCCGCATTTTGCGTGACAGCGTGCCGTTGAGAACTCTGTTGACGGCTTTATGGCCTAAGTTTGACAAGTTTCTGTCTCTCTTCGCAGTCAAGTTTCTGAAGGCGTGTATCGCCATGAAGGTAAGCAGCTCCTTAGTACGCGGCAGCAGCGGGTATGCTCCGACGTGCTCTTCGCGGAAGGCTTTCTTTAGCCCCTCTTGGTGTGTGTTTATACGCAATCGTGTATCCCCCTCTCTCTCCCTGCGAAGCGGGTAAATGCCACGCCTTTTTTGTCGCTTGACTCCCCTTCTGCCGTCTCCGGTGTGCCTGTTCTTCCTCTGAATTCTCCCCCCTGCTGAACTTTGTTTTTTCGAATTACTTGCTGCCTGCCGTCGCGCTCGCGCGAGAAAAACTCGCTCGGCATGCCGCACGAGTCTTCGCTTCTCTAACGAGAATTCTACTTTTGCGGAATTCGCGCATTCAACGATACGCTTGCTCTGCCCAAAGCCCCAAAACCCAAGTGCCGAGTTTCGCATGCGCGCTTTTCCGTGATGTGCATGCACATGCACATGCACATGCACATGCATGTATATATTATATGGGTAGCTCGTTGGTGCTCCTCTCGCGGCATGCTGATGTCTCAGGATCCATATGTGGACAAGCACCTCGTGAAGTCGAAAGTTTTGCGCCCTGTTGTCTGGATGCTCAAAGTACTCAAGCGAAGCGACGTTCTTTCTCCTTTCTTCCCTGCCTTTTTGTGCATGCCTTTTTCTGTCGTATGGGAGCTTTTCTTCTGGCTTACGCAATATCCTGCTACCCAACTCTGCCGCCGTGTCTCCGCATGCATGCTGCTGCCCGCTTCTCGAGCTTCCCTTTTTGGTCCAACAGCTCGAACGAGCACCATGCCAGTAGTGCCAGCATGGCTTTCTGCACGTGTGCTTCCCTTGCTGCCCTCAATTCTGCCTGCTACTCCTTTCTTTTCTTCCTCCCTCCTTCCTCCTCCCGCTCCCTCTTTCCCCTTCGGATGCCGCCAATCAAGCCGCGTTCACATGGCGTTTTTCACAGAAAAGCGCCTATTCTTCCCTGCTGTCAAAGCTGCATTTCTCCTTCTCGCAGGAGGACTATCTCTCCCCTCTGTCTTCCTCCTGCCGATTAGGAGGTTCTCTTCTGACATGCGCGATTCTGGATTGCCTCTCGTGTCTCTCTCCTTCTGGACTGTCGCCTTCTGTCAGCGGCCTCCCCGTGCACCTGCACTCCCAAGGATCTTCCTTGATTGAGTTTCTTTTCGATGATCCCCTTACTTCGCGATGGATCATGCAAATTGAAGAGGCAGCCAGCAAGAGTCGAAAGAATGCATGCGTCGTCCTGCGGGTAGGGGGGAGTGTTGAAAAAAAAAGGCCGCTGCACTGCCAGTGTGGTGGGGTAGGCTAGCTACCCGTGCAAAAACAGTCTTCTTCCGCGTCATTGTCTACGCTTCCTCTATACAGCGCGTTTCTCCTTTTGCTTTTGCTGCTCCTCCTCCTGCTTTTGCTGCTCTTGCTTTTGCTCCTCTTCTTCCTGCATTTGCTGCTCTTGCTTTTGCTCCTCCTCCTGCTTTTGCTGCTCCTCCTGCTTTTGCTTTTGCTGCTCCTCCTCCTCCTGCATTTGCTGCGTTTGCTTTTGCTCCTCCTCCTCCTGCATTTGCTGCTTTTGCTTTTGCTGCTCCTTCTCCTGCTTTTGCTCCTTCTCCTCCTGCATTTGCCCCTCTTCCTGCATTTGCTGCTCCTCCTCCTGCATTTGCTGCTTTTGCTTTTGCTGCTTCTCCTCCTGCTTTTGCTGCTTCTCCTCCTGCATTTGCTGCTTTTGCATATGCTGCTCCTCATGCTTTTGCTGCTGCTGCTGAATTACACTTTTTCGAGGGGTCTTGCATGTGGTGGCTTGCCTCGCAGGATTTGCGCTTGCTGTATTGCCGTTCGCGGATCAGTCAAAGGCACGAGAGCATGGGGAGTGCAAGCGACCTGCCTCAAGGCGACTGCCAGCAGCAGCCTCACCAACTGAGCAGCTTGGGAAGACTTATTAGGACAGATCCGCTGGTAGGCTGATTATTCTTAGGCTTAAGAAGGGTGTGGGAGGTACCTTAGCGTTGAGAAAGGCCTCTGGCAGATAGTCAGACAGACAGGGGCGAACAGAAAGAGGCTGAAGGTGTGGATGCAAGGAAGGGGGGTTTGGCGAGAGAGAGGAAGGAAGGTGAGAGGAGGTAGGAGAGGGATGCTTGCCCAGCAGCGGCTGTGGAGCTATGGTTTTCGCGAATCTGCTGTCTTTCAGCGGCAAAATATAGATGACGATGATTCTTGGTTCTTCAATGTGAAGGATGACGATTCTCCAACTGAAGCGGAGAAAACTGCCTCTCAGCGGTGAGGCTCCTGTGTGTGTTTATGCAGCCGGCTCTCCCTTTGGCACACGGCAAAGCGGTCCGTGCAGCTGCAGGATGTGTGTGTATGTACAGAGATATAGATGTGCGTGCTGCTGTTTCTGCAAATTCGAGCATGGCTTTATCTGTGGAGGCGTGGAGACGCTGTGGCTGTGCTTAGGCCTCGCTTGTCTCTGGTTGATGGCTATGACGATGAAGATGAGCAGCAACAGCAGCAGCAGCAAGGGAGTGCCTCCGGCACAGATCTCTGGGCAGGGTCTGGCAGCAGCAGCAGCTCCGCAGCAGCTACGGCTGCAGGTCGAGTGAAGATAACGAGAAGGCGAAGACGCCGCCCCTTGCGGGATGATGAAGAGGACAGCAGCAGCAGCAGCAGCAGCAGCAGCAGCAGCAGCAGTGATGAGGACAAGCGCCAGCTCCCCAAGCCGACCGCACCTCCTAGCAGCAGCAGCAGCAGCAGCAGTAGTAGCAGCAGCAGCAGCAGCAAATCCAAACCGCAAAGGGACCTTGCCGGAGGCACTCTCCTCAGCGTCTTTCCAGAGAAATCTTCTGTAGCGCCAGCTCCGTTGTCAGCAGCCGCTGGAGGAGGTTCTGTCAGTTCCTTGTCTTCAGGAGGTCTTGCGAAGCAAAAGCGGAGAATTGCAGTGAAAATAGGGTGCGATCCCAGTTGTGCTGTTTCTTTTTTGGTGCCTATTGAGTGCTGCTTGGGCTTGATGCACAAGCACAACAATGCGCGGTTACGCTGCTGCTGCTCCCGTATGTGCCGATTCGCAGAGCAAGGCTTGCTTCCAGTGGCGATGAAGGCGCAGCTGCCACAGACGGCAGCAGCAGCAGCAGCAGCAGCAGTGGGAGTGGTCTAACTTTGGATCGCAGTGTTAGAGGCAGCACTGCAGCAGCAGCTGCAGCAGCAACGGACGGCCGGAGAAGCGACGACACTGCGGACGCAAAGCCACAACAGCTCTTTGCGCATCTTGGTGGAAGTGGCGGAAAGGAAGATGCTCCGCAAGATACAAAGGGGGAAGGGGGGGACCGCGACGCGCTCGTTGAAGGCAAGCCTTGGCAATTGAATTGGTGTCGGTGTAGCGGGAGACAGACGGTGTGTGGGGGGTGCCTGTCGATTGCATGCACTTCTGTGTGCGTTTCCTCGTTTTGCGTGCTGTGGCATAGGGGTCCACCTGTTGCACCGCGTGCTGCAGCAGTCCGGCGTAGGAGCGAAAACCCTAGCAGCAGCTGCTGCTGCAACAGCTGCTGCTGCAACAGCTGCTGCTGCAACAGCTGCAGGGGCATGCAAGCAAGCGGCCACGTCGGAAGAGGCGCAAGCTGCAGCAGCAAAGACGGAGAGCAACCACCAGGCAGATCTGCTGAAGGACCTTCTAGATGAAGAGGACAGCGATGGGGAGGCCTCTGTCGCTGCAGCTGTTGGTGCTGTGGAAGCGGCAGCAGCCTCAGGAGCAGCCGAGACTAAACGCAGACGCGTAGTCTAGCAACGGATACAACGGATGCAAGCTCGCTCTCTTCTCCCAGTTGGCAGCGGGGAGGCTGCTGCCGAGGTTCCTGATTTTTCGCTAGATGGCGGCTGGGCTCCTGCTGCACACGTGGATATCTGTGCAGCAGCAGCAGCAGCAGCAACAGCAACAGCAGCAGCAGCAGGTAGAAGCACCAACATGCTGCGGCTGCTCACTTGCATAGCCTCTCTTTGGGCAAGTGGGGCAGCCAGCGGACCCCTGGCCTCCGTTTTAAACCCACTACTTTAGTGCCAAGATTCGCTTCATGCTGAATTCAGACTAAGTGACTTTAGCAGGGATACGCTGCACGTATGGACACATACGTACACAGAGGCGTACATGCATGCACAGAGGCCTAGACCCGCATACATGCACATGCATATACGTATACACATTTACATTCATCACGCACATTCCTGCGTACTTACGCATATACATACACCTATTCACACGCATGCAGACACATTCAAGCAACAGCATCAGCAAGACAGAAGCAGTCGCAAGGACGACTCCGCTACAGCAGTTGTACGCAGTTTGAGCGCTCGATTAACACTGCCTCTTTAAAGCGCTAGCGCTGGCCAACACACTGCCTCTCTGGCCTTCCTCCCTTGTGTGTGCGTCGCATCGTTAGTGTGTCTATACGTCTCATCCCCAAGTCATAAAAAGTACATGTGTGGCATTGGCAGGGAACCGCACGCACTAAGCAGTACATGAAGCGCTCCCCATGCCTCAGGGTGCCAAGCGTGTTCAATCTGGGGGTTGTGTTGGCTGTTTAGCAGCAAGCAGTTGAAGCCCACAATGATTTGGACCAGGGGAATTCTGTGGGCAGGCCAGGCAGTTTGCGTATCATTCCGATTGCCAGTTGAGTTTGTAACTCTAGCGCTTTCGCAGGACGATAGTAAGAGCTCACGGAAGCCCGTCGGAGAGGCCGCTGTTGATTTACAACTTTCCTTAAGAGCCTTCTTTTCCTGCCTATCGCAAGCTGCTCCTTCTAAGGTCGATCTCGTTGTGCGCGCGTAGGTTAGCTCTTCTACACTGAGATGCCTTTCGAGTATTCGGTGCACTCGTGCTGCCTACGGCGCACCGGAGTCATCCATCGTTCGTCTTTTCACGCACAGATCTGCATGCCTAAGTGGCTCTTGCCGGCCAGTTCGATGATTTCCCGCTTGCTGCTGTAGACTCTCTCCACTGCTAGCTTCCCTAGCAACGCTTCAAGGGAACAGAACACTAAGAGCTACGACGCAGCAATGCACAGCGTACTCAGCCCTAAGCGACAGCATCGTCAATAAGTGAAGGGGTGTTAGCGACGCAGCGAGACGCAGCAAAAGGCCGCAGAAGAGAGGCAATTCTTCGTTCAGTAGTGAAGCAGCAGATTGAAAAAGCGCAGTCCTAAAGCATGCGGAGCCAGTCGAATTGCTGGACCTAAAGTTTGCACTGGCCTCTTCCGTGTGTCAGAAGGTCGGCCTGCAGTCCTTTGGGGCGCTAACTAGAGGAATACCTATCAGCGCTGCAAATCCCAAATTGTACGCACAGGTGCATGCAGCCGCCTATGTTCAAAATTCGTTGCTCTGAGCCGATCTACATAGAGCTTCTTGTTGCCTTTGCACCAAAGGATGCAAGCAAACGCGGTATTTGTTCCATTTCACCGCAGGCGATGGGGTGTCCAGTCTCACCCATCCCGTGACTCTACCCGTCATGCCTTGTTGCGTGGATTCTTCGTTTCTCTGAGCACACACATCTTACTGTCCTAAGAAGCGCATCCTAAAGTAAACAACTTCTTCGCTGAGACAAATGGTTGTGGCTGCGTTGGTGCCGGCTGTGTATGACGATCCAGTGGACTGACCATTGGCCGGTACTTTGTCATTTTTCTCTACCAGTCTCTCTCTTTGCTCTTAGTGGTAACACGGACTTTGGAAGGCTTAATCTGATTAAATATGATTATTTGTGCATATTGGTCAGAAATGCGACAGAAGAGCAAGAAGGAAGGGGCTCAGTTCAACCCAGAAGCGCTATTACTGAATGAGAATCATCTACGACTTTGCGCAGGAGAGGAGCCGTGGAAACGGCTGATCAGGACGGCGTAACTTTGTGTTTTTCCACCGTTAATGAGGTTTAAATAAATTTGTTTTTAGCTTTATCATCTTTGATATGCACAACAAGCACCACAGGAAGCCTCGGCCCGAAACTTGCCCCTTGTCGACCCAGGGGGTAGATGATGAGCTAAACATACGTCAAGCCTCTTCAGACGACAGTGTAGCGACCCTCTTATCCGTGTTCTGCATGTTTTTCTAGATTGAAAGGGGTAAGAGGGGAGGGAAGCCGCCAAATTTCTCCGGAATACTGCACAATACCTGCGACCAGAGGCTGTGAAGCACAACACATCTGCGAAAAACTCCCCTTCTCCAGAGCTTGAAATTTTAATCTGCCTGTTTTGCGGTCCTTGTTTTGAAGACGCGTCTATGTTGCTCTCGCCATTTCAAATCCCGTAATTACACCGTAAACCCCAATTGTTTGGCTGCATGCAGAGACACGATATGGTGCCAGAAGGCAGATCGCAGTCAGTTCCATCTGACGCAGTGCCTCAGGGAGTACAGACAGCCGCAACTCCAGAGCCGCAAAACGCAGGGGCGCCCAGTGACAGGCCTGCAGCTTTTCCCCGGGGAGTAAGGCTCCGTTCAAGAACTGACACCGTTCTTGAGGAGCCGTTTCCAGGAGACTCTCATGAACGGGAAGACGTCAGCCATGCAGTGGCTGCGGCTGCTGCGATGGCAGAGAGAGCACAGACCCCTGGTGCTGGTGTTTCTCGAGAAACAGTTCATTTTGCGCAGCGTGACTTTCGGGGGAGAAGGACTCCCCAGGGAAGCACAAGTCTGCTCAGCGGAGGAACCAGCAGCTTCGCAGAGGCACAACGCGAACATGGAGAATCAATAGGACACGAAGGCGCCCGCAGAGTCAGCTTTGGCACAGATGGAGCTCAGCGCAGGCAGCAGCGTCGTACAGCTGAAGGCAGCAGTGGCCGAAGCCTTTGCACGAACAACGCCGGCAGTAGCGGCAGTAGCGGCAGTGTTCATGTCTCAAGTCATGAAGAAATCTGTAACTGGGATGTCAGTGCAGCGTCCATGGAGGCAACAACACGAGGGATGCGGCGTGTGCCTCAGACCGCAAGAGCAGCAGCGGCAGAAGCAGCAGCTGAGGCTGCAGCGGGGGAAGCCGTAGGCGCTCGCGGGGGCAGCAGTGAGGAGGAAGGAAGCGACACAGGGAGTATTTCCGAGGCACCCCTGGGATGTTTGCCTCTAAGCAGCAGCATAGATGCTTCGATGGTCTTGATACCCCTAGAAAGGACAGCAACGCTGTTTCGAGCGGCACAGAAATCACTTGCAAGAGATACTTCAATAGTTCTTGCGTTCATCAAAAAAAAATTGCAGCAGCAGCTTGTTGCCGCAGAGACACCGCAGCTTCAACTGGCCCGTATCGACCTGGTTGTCGAGAAGGTAAAAAATATCAAACGACGAGTAAGTGCCTTTAAAATTAGTCGAAAGTAGTGGCTGCTGCTTTTGCTCTTGCTGGGAGGGAGGCCTGCTACAGCCGCTGCTGCTGATGCTGCTGTTCGTGCTGCTGCTTTCCTTGTGTCAGAGAGTCTGGAGGAGTGACTCTACATGCTGCAGGACAGACTGCGGCTCCTGCAGACTTCACGACGATCGTTCGTCGACGCTAGCGTTCATGCCAGCCATGCGTGTTTAACGTTCGCATTGCCTTTTGTTGTTCCTCGACAAAAGTGCAGCTCTTCAGAAGTCTATGATGAGGCGCATGCCTTCAGGCAGAGAAAGCAGCTGCAGCAGCAACGCAGGAGTTGGAGCGATGCAGTCGCAGACTGAAGATTCTTGCGAAGGAGCCTGACCTCCTGCACGCACAGATGCAGGTGCTGCTCATTATTGTCACTTTGTACTTGTTGAGTTTCCCGCCAAGAGTGTTTTTAAAGCCCCCTGAACTCTTTGTCCCCTTTTTTGAGCGGTCTGTGTCTACGGCCTCTTCCTAGAGACGTTTCCTCGCGCAAGAAGCTACATGACTCTTACCTCTCAGCCGCTTTGATTGACGCCTTTCCTTTTTCCTTGAGTTGTTTGCCTCTGACATGTTCCTTCTTGCTGAGATTAAGTTGCTATTTCTTGAATTCCTGGAAGTGCCGCTCTACACTGCTCATAGGGGATTGGGTTGTTGTGATCCCTTGGCCTTTCTGCTACTGTGCCTTTCCTTTCCCGCATTAGTTGCGTTTTGTGCATCTCCTGTTGGAGGCTGTGAGCGATTATTGCCGAGTACATGTTCGTTTTCTCTGCGTGCAGATGAATTTCTCGATTGCTGACTTCCGTCCCCGCATCAATTGGACTGTGTTAGAGTATTTAAGTCGTAACGGGTTCAATCACACGGCAAAGGAGGCCGCCTCCTTGATGCATCTTGAGGTGTGCCTCGCCTCATATCGGTTCTTGCCCTCATGCTCAGCTAAGAGCTAGCTCCCTGCCACCTAGTAGCGGCACCTGGCTTTTTGCACACTCTTCGCCAGCCTGATCTTCCTTGAGCTTGCTTGCTGCCGTCTCTGGAGAAGGGAAGGGGGCCGCTTGTGTCAGGGGGAAACTGTCTAGCGTCTTGCGGAGACAGCTAGCGCGGCAGCTAGCTGGAGCCTCACCTGTTGCTGCTTGTGTCTGATCTGGATGAAGGATTTCTGGGATAGGGACGTTCACGCAGAGGTGGCCAGTGTCGTTTCTGGCTTAATGAACGAATCCACAGCGGAAGCGTTTGCGTGGATTGAGGCGCACAGTGCCAAACTCCGCAAACTCCATGTAACTCGAGGCTCCACCGTTAGTTGTGATGCAGCAATTTCTACTGCTGACGCCACCACAACTGCCAGCTTGAGTGCTGTGTGTCTACGCTGCTGGGAGACTCTTTGTCTGATGCCTGCTGTCTGCCTCTGCTGCTGCTGTTGCTGCTGCTGCCGCCATTGCTTTCGCTGTAGAGTGTACTTGAGACGGAAGTGCAGATACAGAACGCCATTTACATCCTGAAGCACAAAAGCTCTCGAGAAGCCGTGAAGTATCTGAAGGACAAAATTAAGCCTGGCGACTTGGGTAGGAGCAAAGACGCAGACGGCTAGTCCTTTTTTGTGGGGTGCAAAGAAATCGTGATTTCTGAGGTTGCAACATTGCTGCTGCTGCCATTAGCAGCGTGAGCCAGAGCCCGCATTGCCTTTTCTGATTTTGCTGGGAAGTCGTGTTCGTGACATGGGGTTGGCATCAGGAAGGCTGTATCATGAGCACTTGTATTTCGCGTATAGCTGTTCCTGCGGCTGCAACTTTTCGCAGAGCGCTCTCCGGATATTCGACGAGTCTTGGCTCTAGCTGCTATGCTGGAGTATCCTCCGCCTGAATACGAGGTCCACTCTTGCACCCTGAGACACCAGCTCTCACTCCCCTTGGACGCGTGTGTCGTCGCTTTCCTCTAGGGACGAGGCAACCTCCTCCTCGTTGCTGCATTTTCTCGGCGCTAGTCCGTATCAAGGCAATAGCGCGGGGGGTAGGGGGGCAGCCTTGTATCGCCTTGCGCATGATTTTTGCTGCAGTACCTGCTTGGGGACGGCAGGAAGCTGGAGCTGGTGGCTCTATTCTTGCGCACCAGTGCCGCCGTTCTAGGGATGTCGCGAGTGCCCCTGTTGGCTCCCCTTGTCTTTTCGGGTTTGTGCGTTGTCAAATCTGGATCGTGTGGGGAGAACGCTTCGACAAGGCAAGTCTGCAGCCTTGCAGCAGCCTTGATGTGAAGCCTTCGGGAGGCTGCACCGCTGTCTTCTCCATTTGCGCCAACTAAACTGTGCGCTGGCTAGAGGGAAAGGTAGTGTGCTACTACCCCTGGGGGTTTATGGCGTAGGAACGACGACTGCTTGCGTTCGTTTCAGCTGCCCCGCCTGCCTCCCCGAGCTCTCTAAGGCCGTGGAAAGTCTCCCAATGCCTCACAGAATGAGAAGCAACGTCATTTGCTCAGTCACTGGAGAGCCAATGGTATGCCAGCACCTAGGGGGCGCTCTAGAGGCAGGGGTTTTTTACTAATTCGACGCTTATGGGAGGGAGGGTTATGACTGAGGACCAAGGGTTTGAACTTTGTGTTTAGGATGAAGATAATCCTCCAATGGCAAGTCCTGATGGGTATTTGATTTCTAAGAAGGGACTTGTGCAGCTGACGGAGAGGTCAGAAAACGGTTTGGTTGTCTGCCCTAAAACCAACAATGCCTACCCCCCCACAACGTTCGTTAGGGTGTTTATATAACATGAGGCTGAGAGTTTAGTACTAGCAGGCGCTTGAAGAGTGTCGGACTTTGTCTAAACTGACGTGGAGGCACACATTGTGTGCTGCCGTTGCCGTTGTTTGTTCGGTTCACCAATCGAGGCACAACTTGATTGGCGGGGTCATATCGTTACATCTAGCGACAGGCGTGTTTTTGCACGTAGAGCACGTACGTAGACACCTTGTAATTGAGTCAGGCACCGCCGATAGGCTTAGTTAATTCAAGGGGATACAGGGTAACTTTCGCTGCCGTCCCCTCATGCGCACCGCACGGTTTAGCATGTAGGATTCTGCAGGGTAGAGTGCCACAAGAAGTTATTCTTTGTGATAGTAGTACCAAAATCACATCAAACGTGTTCCTAGGGTAGACGACTCCACAAACCAATAAACCCTGATCCTGTGCGCGAGCGAGGCACAGGGGAGCGGAGAACCTTTTGTGACTTGCTGAACAGAAAACGCCTCATGAACTAAGTCCCTTTGATTGAAAACACTGACCCTGTGCTTGGCTGGCAGCAAATTTGTTAGACTCTTTTGTGTTGGGTGCGGAGCGAAAACAATAGGCGCGTCAACTGCTAGTAAATGGGCTGGATTCAAAGGCGCTTGAATAGGCTGAGGCATTCTGCCACTAAGTAAGCCTCGTGGATAAGGCACGGCTTGCGCGCTTAACGGAATGTATGCGCCTCCAGACACAGCAACAGGGGTGATAGGTGCACTCCAAAGCATTCATGCGTACAAAGAACTAAAAATGATTCAGCAGAACATAAGCGAGAACGGGGAGAAGCAAGAGCAGCCAAGCAGTGCACGATTATTGCACCTTACAGTGGGGATGTGAAGAAAGATGATAAAGACCACAATCCCCATATGTCTCGTAAGTCGGTGGCGCACAGTACTGTAGACAGCGAGGTTGAAGTCCAACAAAATCGTTGCAAGGTTTGAAGCTGAACTCTCTGGCTTGCTGATGAACAGGGAGGATCTTGCTGTCCGAATACGCTAGAGAAAACGAGCATTATCAAATAAATAAGCATGTACTCCAGAACCGAGCACATTCTTCGACTTTGATTAAAGCTATTTGTTCCGCAAATGACTGTAGGTTCGGTCCTGACACAGTTGTAAAGGCGGACTGAGGCGCCCCCTTCGGAGTGTCTTGGCCTCTAGTCATTATATTCCCATGCAATATCGGCAAGTCCGGCATCAATATGGCTAATAGATTGTTGTTATCACAACGAGTAGATTGAGGCGGCGGTAAAATCTATGAAGGAAGCTATATGAGTGAAAAAGGGCCGGGGCTGCTGCTTCCCAGTGCTGGTGTATGGGCACCTGAGGCGTAACTCGCCAGGTTCCCGTCCGTATATTAGATGCAGGCCTATTTCTGTGGATTCTACTTATTGTATCTTTGGCTACTGTGTTGAATGCGCAGGTCTTCGGGCCGCAGCAAGTGTTTTACAGCATACAGCAGACGTTTCCGCTTCTTCTGCCGCAGCGTTTACTGCCATTCCTCAGTTTTTCGAACCTTTTGACCCCGCTTTTGCATCAGCAACGTGAGTCTTTCTCTGCGTGTCCAATTTTCCAGGGAGACTTTCCGTACACTTGGCAGCCCAAAACGGCCGCAGCAGCGCCTCCAACAATAGTATCGGCATAGCTTTCCCACTGTTGAAGGCTTTCGTCTTCCTTTCTACGGTTGGCATCGCAGAAGGCAGATGTACTTGGCGCTGTAGCTCGCCCGAACAGACATAAGGGGTTCCCAAGGACAGGCAAGGCACCCTTCAATGGGAGCCAGCCTCTCCAGAGGCTTTCCTCGCGGGGCAGCAGCAGAACGAGAAGCCGCAGGAGAGTCAAACAGCAGCAGCTGTAGCAGAGTGCAGCGGAAAGCAGCCTCAGCAGGCAGTGACTCGTAGGTTCTCCAGTTTTTTTCGCTGTTTCAAGTGTTTCTCGCTTCGGGTTAAGACTCTCTTGATTGGGGTGTTCGCGCACAGGGGCCCTCCTTTGGCGCGTTGGAACTGCACTAGCGCGTTGTCTGCATTTAGTGTCAAGGGTTGTAATCTCGGAGGTGCTTGTCTTTATACCTGTGAAGTGATAATGGGAGTCGCCTTGGGATCGTACATCGATCAGCATGGTCTAGAGCAGCTGGGCAAGTATCGCTACGTATCAGCCGGCAGCACTCCAATCGACCGACTCATGCAGCCTTTCTGGGATGCAGTTGTGTCTTTCATACCCATGGTAGGTTTTCCCTGCTGCTGTGTTTGCTGCTGCATTAGCTTGCAGTCCCTTCCTGCTACTGCCTCCTATGCTGATCAGCCTTCCCTGTGAGACGGTCTCTCGCCTGTCTAATTCCATGCACACGCGTATCACACATATGTAGGTATGTCTACGCGTGTGTTTGTATATGTAGGGGTTTCTCCTTGCTTGTGTGCCCTTGTTGATTGTCGTTTTTGCATATATATATATATATATATATATTTGCGCTTTGCTATGCTGCCGTCATGGCTGTTTCCGTTTTCTGTGCCGTGGCTGCAGTGGGTCAGTCCCAACGTACTGACTCTCCTAGGCTTCAGTTGCCCGCTTCTCTGCATGGCTCTGACATGCATCTACATGCCGACGCTCAAGGAAGCAGCACCCTGTTGGGTGTATCTTGTCAACCTCATCCTGCTCTTCCTCTATCAGGCAAGTTCCTGTTTTTGCGATAGCCGTTGGGGCGGCTTCTACAGCCTCCGCCGTTCAAGTGTCTGTCTGCCCTTCTCTTGACGTGCTCCAGACTTCGCTACGTGCATGCACCTGCCCAGTGCCTAGTTCTGCCGCTGTGTATGTGCCCTCTGCTGTCGCAGACGCTAGATGCTGTAGATGGGAAGCAGGCTAGAAGGACCAACACGTCTACGCCTTTGGGGCAGCTCTTCGATCATGGCTGCGACTCCTTCTCTACTGTGAGCTCCCGACTTGCAGTGGGAGACGGCTCGCTAAGCAGCATTCTTACTGCACCCTCTGTTGTGTGTGTCTGTACTGCTGCTGCTGCTGCCGTTCCACCCCCCGTTTTTCTTGCAAGGAATCTTCGCAGTTGCCTCTGTGGCGATACTGCTAGTGCTGCCGCTGTTACTGCATGCGTTTCATGGTGGGAACGTGCCTGTGCGCATGCCTTGCAGGTCTTTGCCGCTTTAAGCGTCTTGGGAACGATCCGAGTTGGCATATCGGTTGCGGCGTTTATGCTGATTGCCATCCTTCAGATGCAGCTCTTCATCTACACTGTATGCACCTGCCCATCTGAACCATATATATATGTATATTTATATGCATGTATGCATGCATGCATGCATGCACGCGCTTTTGCTTGCCCGCTTGCGTGCTTCCTTTCAAGCGCCCAGTCAGTCTCTTCCAGTCTTCGGGGCTTGTGTCTGCAGTGGTGGGAGCTTCACTTTCACGAATACCGCTGCCACACGGGAGTTACTGGTGTGACGGAAGGGCAACTTGTGGTGAGTCTGGCGAGAGCAGCAGGCTGAGGAGAAGCGGAGACAGTGAGGCCGATGGCTGGAAGGTTCAGTCAGGGTGGGAGTCTGTTTCTTCTGCGCAGATGATGGGAATGAACATCGTTGCTCTCGTCTTTGGTCCCGAAATCTTCACAACCTCGCTCGCCGACGTCGTTCCCACATCCTTCTTGTAAGGTCAAAAGCATGCAACCATAGGGTGTAGCTGCTGAGCCACGTTTAGCAGTGCTTGACGAGCTTTTTGCCTCCAGCGTTCGGAGGCTCAGGCTTTTTCGCGTCCAAGGTCGACCTTTTCTGTGCATGCAGAGGCACACTGTCTGGTTACTTGCTAACCCTTCCGATCCAGGCATTCCTGGCGTTCCCATTTTATCTGCTCCTCATTGGAATGCTGGGAGCTGACGTCATCAACGGTTGCAGGCATGCGAAGAGACCTAGGAAGGCTGCGTGTGCGTCGTCTGTTTCTCAATGCGCAACCCGATGTCGTTTGACTCGGATGGCTCCGTGGTTGTGTGTAGTCTCTGGCCGAAAGTTCTCGCTTACAGCCTTTGCTTTGTGTCGCCAAAACGCAGGAGTGCAAGCCTCTCCTCTGTAGCTTCCTGTATTCGGTGAAGCAGCGGCAGCTGCATGCGTTCTGCGTTCTGCTGCGGCATAGCGCTGCTGCTGTTGCTCCTTGTCTGTGCTGACTGATTTCCTGCAGCACAACTCCTTGGCTGCCTCCTGCATGTACTTATGCAAATACCTCTCTTCTGCTCCAGTAAGGGCGCTGGAAGTTGAGCACAAAAGCAAGCGTTGAGTCTTGACAAGGGGGACCTAACCTGCGGCTGCGTTGTTGACTACGCCGTACTGCTGCCTTACTGCGACTTCCACTGCTGCCTGGGTGCCTGCGTTTGCAGCCATGATGGACGAACACCCTGTCTTGTGTTACTGGGCAATGGTCTGCAACACTTCCATCGTCGCTTTGCGGTTGAACCTCTCAGCGACATGCAGGGCAAGTCACTGAGACAGCTAGCTAGTCCCAGCTAGTTGCTCGAGGGCACAGATCGTGTGGCAGTTCCCCCTTCTTCCCCCGCTCCTCCCCTCACTTGAGGCAACCAACGAACTAAGACAAAAAGCTGCAAAGGCAGTGCAGCATCTGGATAGATTATAGTGTCCATAGTAGCTGGCTTTGCCGAAAATATGTGGCTGCTGCTTCGCCAGAACCCTTGAGACACCCCGGAGGTAGACGGTGCCTGTTTGGAAATGGTCTGCCCTGTTTTTGCTTGGAGTTGGGCACTGCGCATTGCTTACTTGCTTTCGTTTGCATGCAGATGGAGTTCACTCCGATTCAATGGCCAATCCTCCCGTTTTGGCTGTGCTGCGTTTGGCTGTACATAATATCGCCCGACGGTTCTGGAGTTGCTGCTGCAGTGATGCCTCAGCTGCTGCATTACCAGCAGCAGCAGCAGCTGGCCCCCTACGGTAGCACCATACTGCTGGGGGTGTTGCTGTGGAGCGGTGTGTACCTAGCGAGTTTGCTTTTGTCTACCATTTCCCTCATTTGCTATCATTTTAATATCAGGTGCTTCGGTGTGGGGGAGAACTTCTCCAAGCAGCAGTAAAAGCCTGCAGGTGCCAGCAAAGCCTCCCCTTCACCTGCTCACCTATGAGTTCAGGGGCGTTCTTTTTGCAGAGATCTTGGGGCTTTTATGCGTGGGGATGCGTATGTGTGCATGGCTGCAAAAGGCATATATAATAACTGCATGTATACGCGTGTGCCGATACATGGATGTTTGCGGAAAACGCATGCATGCATGTTTCGTAGATGTGGATACGCACCCTCACACAAACATGCATGTATACATCGAGGCGCAGCAGCCCTTTTGAGCTGTTGCGAAATTATTTACAGTCGTGCTTTTACGGGGGCCGACGCGAGAGGCCATACAGCTAACGGACTGCATGCATGCATGCATGCAGTCCGTTAGCTGTATGGACGAACAAGCACATACTGTCAGACGCAAGCAAAGATAGACGAGGGAACCTTTGCTTTCTGTACGTGCCAAACGAGAAGGCACACCTTAAATGCCTTATCTACGTTCTGCACTTCAACGGATACCAACAACGGAGCAATTTGGCAAGAACCTCCAACTGCAGCAGCAGCTCGAATATGAACAGCAGCAGCAGACGCACAGTAGGGATGCACACAAGAGCAGTAACCGCCTGGTCTAGACGAGCAGCTGCGTTTGAGCGCCCTATTCAAAAGAATGGCCTTGAACAATGCGTTGGGGGAAGCACCGCGTGATGCTGGCGCCACTACAAATGCTTGCCTGGGCCGCACCCAAGGTCAGTAAGCCACTTTAGTCTTTACGAACGTTCGACGACACATACATTTCGGTGTTCACCGCTTTGATTTTTGAGTCATATGCTCAAAGGTGCATATGCATACCAACTGGGCAACTACCTGCCTACCGCTCCCGGGTGCAAAAAATCGTAATCCATAGGGCGCTGTAGTGTCAAAGTAAAACGAGCAAACAATACGGCGGTTTGTACATTCTGTTGCAGAGCCTGTACAAACTTGCTGGTGATTTATCCCAGCAGTCCTACTCCACTTAGGGCAGGAGGTAGCTGGGGCAGTCAAACTTGCTGCATTTGCTGCAGCGGGCTGTCAGTGTCTATCACTTTGGTCGAGTTGGTATTCCAACATTCCTTTTATAAATTCGCTGGTGCAGCACCCACTCTGGTACATACGGTGCTGTGTCGTTCAAAGCATATTCGTACATAAGTGCTTGTTTCGCACTTGCTCTTACTGCGTCTGCGTGTGATGAAAACTCCGGTGCTGTGAGAGTTTTTGAGTTCGCGCCGGTATCGCCTGATGCTGCATTATTTGGAATGGGCTCCACTAAAAATTTGCTTTTGAAATGCTTTTGGATTTTCGACGGCCCGGGGTTTTTTTTTTCCCAAAGAAAGTCAAGGGGCCTTCGCCCCGCAGAGCGTACAGGAAGAAGCCGCAGCCCACAGGAGAGTGGTCGCTTGCCATCAGCACACCTGTGGAAGGAAAAACAAGCAGCAGAGCCTGCTGGCTTGTATTAAATGCAGGTGCATATTAATTCTAAGAATTAAATCAGCACGCAGGGGTAGGGCGTAGAATGTGCTGCTCAGTTTCGGAGCCTCGCTGCATGAGGACAGACGAAGACGCAAGAAAAAATATAGGGAGCGACACACATCAGGGAACCCACATTGGCAAAGAGGCACGCAGATGCACGAGATAATAAAGCATGCAACATAAAAAAAGGTGTGCAATGGCGAGTGAAACTGAATAAAAGACATACGGCTTGACCAAAAATATGCGATAAAAAGACCGAGAGAGTGAAAAAGAGCAACAGGTTGCTGTAGGTGAATGAACACTTGGGAAGTAACAATTAAAAAGAGGAATAATTAGAAAGGGTTCCCCAGTGCATACCGAATTGAACAGGCAGATAGACACTCAGACGAAGTGGTAGAGATGCGCCACCTGTCTACAGGAAAAGGTGTATCTAGAGGCAAGGAGATGAGAGGGCTATTCAGACACACAGCCACACACGCGAAATAACACACAGGAATACTTTTACTGGGTTCTATACACAACGCACGGCGAAACACACGTGCAATAAAGTAACTATATACGGCTACTGTAGGCGCCCTTGCATGGGTGTGACGATACTTGTCTCCTTTGGAGTGGCAGCAAAGTACGCGCCGGGTATGGCTCGCAGACTGGCGGCAACGGCAGCCATTGACCAAAAGAAGACCCTGTCGCACCACTGCAGCAAGGCAAACACATGCAATGCAGAGATGAATACAATTTACCCCACTGAGTGCCAACTGTAGGACACACACCAATAGTTTGCAAGAAGGAAGTCTGTCGCGCACATATGCTGAATGGGGTACTCTAAGTCGACCAAATCGTTGAGATGACCTGCTCTCGTTTAGGTGGATTCTTAATTTTCAATGCCATATACTCAAAGAGTGCCGTTGCAGCATTACACAAGCTCAGTACGACAGGACCGGACAGGGACTGCTTTGCGTTGAAGATGACAAAAAGGGGGAATACGCACAGAAGGGGGTCTTTCAACTATCTTCTGCCCTAAAACGCCCTTCTTCATTTGTGTCTGGTATTCTTTCAATACCCAGTCGGGGTCGCTTGTGTCTAATGGAGGACGGCCGTCGGCTTTCTTATACGTTGGCAAAAACTCAACTGGGGCTTCCCGCAGTTGCTGCACCACAGGAATATGTACGCGCTTATGACAGTAGCAGAAATCGTATGCAGAGCAAACAATGCGAAGGTGACAGAAAAGACGAGCGTCGAAGAATTAAAATCTTCATTAGAAATACACTAAAGCACACAATGGCGAGCCAAAGTACTTGCTCAGGAGTAGTGCTGAAGTCCCCACGTAATCACGCGACAGAAAACGGGCACGGAATCAGGGAAACTGAAATTTGAGAAGATGCACGCGTTGGGATGTACATGGCGTTCCATGTCTTGGCAATGATCTTCTGTGCATTCGTCGTATTGTAGCAGCCCCTTAATATCCAGCTTTTGCAGCAGGGGCACTGCAAAAGTAGCGCAGATAGACCCCACTACCCACAGAGTGGCCAACAACGAGAAGAGCACGAGTGAACACCTCATAGCTACTTCCTTGACTTAATTGCAAACAAGGAAGGCGGATGTCGCTGAGGGGCCCCCAGCTTATCGAACCTCACCGCCTCACCCCTACCCTAGTGATCACTGCCAAAAGCACACGACGCACTATTAGGCTAGACCCCACCTTTGTGGGATGCCCGATGTGCATACGGAAGCGGCTCCTATAAATATATAAAGCTGCCTTTAAGGCAGTGCACCCATCCACATATTACGTTTGCACCCATACAAATGTAAAGACGGTGCACGCACACAGATACAAACGAAGCGGCAGATCCCTATACACGCGTCCTGCATATCGACACATCAGCACATCGGGGTGGCATCTGGCTGCACCGCACGCGTGGCGGCTTACTGTACACTTCCGGCGAGGCCTGTAGCCTGAAGTTGAAGTCCCCCGCCCAAATGACGTGATGGAAAACACGTGCGAAGTCGACGTCTATGGAGCTGCCATAAATTTGACCCAGCTTTTTCCGGATGTGCTGGCGAGCGCGTAACCGCTCCTACAGCAGTATGGCACCAACGGTACACATAAAAAGGCGTGGATGCATGCTCGGACAGGTGTATGCAACCAACGTGCATGCAGATACATATAAAGACATAGGCAAGAGGCTCACGTGCTTAGCGAAAATAACCGGAAACTACGCGGAACGGCGGCGCATAAACCATGGTGTGTATAGTATACAATCAGCGCAGCAGATACTTCGAATGAAGGCAATGGTTCAACTAAACTAGAAAAACTCCCACTCACGCAACAGCTCAACGTAGACACGGAGGGGGAGACAAGGCCACAGTTGACTGCATACGAAGGAAAAGCCAGGCAGCGAGTAACTTGAGGGAAAGTAATTGTTGCAACTCAAAGGGACCCCGGCATACAAAGGAGGCGAATGCATGCATGGAGCCACAGTTAAACGGACATGCGCAGAAACACAGCGGGAAAGAGTAGCGAAAAAAGGCCATGGGAGAGAGAGGCGGAGATACATAAGTGCATTGGACTGACCTTAACGCCTGAGGCCGGCATGTGACATCCGACGAAGCAAACAACTTGATCGTAAATACTGAGCACCAGCGTAACTGCACCCTTGCTCCCATTTATCATTGCTGAGGCGTAGAACACCATACGCGTGCAACATCGTAGGTCTATCCCTAAGTTCCGACCCAAAAGGGAACTAGCTGTTGAGCTCTGAGTAGCGTTGACCAACCGACACAGCAACGTACTGAAGGAGAAGGCCTTGTATGCAAGTGGTTTGACTGGTCCCTGGGGGCCGCATACGGACTTTCGAATCCAGCAAGCCAATGCTGCGGAGAGAAGGCAAAGCGCCGGCGAAAATGTGCAGTTTCAAGTGCGCTAGAAACAAATCACATGCAAGACCTCCTTAGTGTATGCCGTGACTGCCACTAGAGGCTGTCGCTGACGCTTGAGAACCGAGTACGGTAGCCCGTACACTGTTCTTCCTTTGGGGTAAAAACGTTGCCTTAGAAGCATTCCCTACAAGTAGCTTTCTTCTTTGTCCAAGCTCCTTTGCCAAGTCCCGATATCTTTCCGTCCCCGATGTTCACTCGTAGGTAGCGTTCGCCGTGCTCGACCTCCAGGTAGAGGCCAATGGTGCTAAAAATATTGTCATCTGCATGCGGCGACAGAGTATCCCAAAGTCGGCGCCTAGAGCAATTATAACTATAAAACCTAGAGTCTCATTCGGCGCGATGGCAGAAAATCGCTGATGGTGCACCCTAGTGGTGTGCTATGTGGGATCACAAAGTCATCCGGATCTGAGTGCACCTACTGGTGACTTCCTGAAGTGTGACCACGTATATATCGTATCCGGGGTGTAACCAGTCCTTAAGAGGCTGCTGATTAGGCCCTGGTTTGCTGAGGCACAGTGTTGAGTGTCTTTGGATGAGTGGAGGCTCGTCGGTGTGAGTGCTCGCATCGCTTGAGCTGTCCTGGCGGCTCTCCATCTCAATATCTGGATCAATAGTGAGAGAAGAGGTGGTGGACTGCGCTGCCTCGTACTGCAGACTTTGAGATTCACTTTCATACAAGTTGACGAGTGTCGAGGCCCCCTTTGTCGGAGTTTGCCCTGAGGTGGCAGAAACAAATGAAAGCAAAATTGATGCTGGAGGGGACGTGACATGGAACGGCCCATTACCTTTGGGCGGACCAATTGATGTTGAAGTTGGAGAGAAGAACGCAAAAGACTTTGAACGGAAAAAGGCATGGATGATCGGGAGAAGGCAAAGCGTAAGCATCTTAAGCAGAAGACGGGGAGAAGCGGAGCTAGTGAGGCAAAAAGAGGCATCCACAGTCGCAGATACACACGATAAGGGCCAGCTAAGGGGATGAATAATGGCGAGCAATTAAAAGGTGACGATGTGCGGAGCAAGGTGTACGGCAAGGGAGAAGGCAAGCTCATACAGACAGGCAAGCATGAAAGGTGCATGCTGACGTACAATGCCAGCAGAAATAACACCGTGGAAGACACAAACGGATCAGAGGATATAATACGGGTACGGGTAGCTGCGCAGCCATTGGCAGAGAAAAAGGAGGGGAGGTGAAGAAAGCCTGAAGAGGCGGGATCCGCATATAGGACCTATAAACGGATGCACCCGAGGTATATCTGACGGAGGGGCACAGCCGCAATCAACGGACTTTTTGGAAAAAGTGAAAACAGGCATATGTTTTGAGGGGAGGCGAGCGCAGAACAACAAGGCGATCAAGTAAGCAGCAGCAAGACCGAATGGAATCAAGACACGGAATTTCGAAGACTGTGAGTCAGCACACCTCTGGCATGAAGCTGAGCTTCCAGCGAGGATATGTACTCCGATGCAAATTCCTGATACTCCGTGTTCCTGCATTTCAGAGCAAAGACAGAAACAGGAAATTCCTCAGACCATCCAACATACACCCATCATACACATTTCAAAGACACTGAAAAGGACAAAACCCCGATCAACGACCCAAGCTACCGGAAACACAGCATACACACATATGCAGAACAACACGCGACAAGCAGGATGGTAAAGACTGCTGCGTGTAGTGAGACGCATCTACCAGAGAATCGTAAGACTTTTTACTCCAAAAAAAGAACATTTCTGGCATGGCTTCTGCATAGGCTTCACGCGCTAAACACCTCTAGAACCCTAGATATAAGCAAATAGACAAATACTCAACCACGGATGCTTGCCAATCTGCACTTTCATGTTAGGCATCTCCATGCACGGAAGCGTTGAAGGACACGCGCACTCGCGAACACAGCCTGGCTCGCTGAACCCGAAAAGACCTGCATTGGAGCCCAGTACATTTTACGCGAAAATTCATAAATAAGACAACGTGGACATTCGATAGGTATACGAACTGGTAAAAATCCCCATATGAACCTGCTGGAGACGCATGACAACTCATAGAAGCACAGCCTCATCCACACTGCAGACTGGCTCTATAAACCGCCAAGCCTAGAAGCCAGCCCCTATGGGTCTTTTCCTCCACATGCTTCTCGTGCTTCATGCTATGCCAAGACTGCGTGCTGTGCCAAAGCTCTCTCTGTGTGTGACAGTTTTACCACGTGGCGACACACAGCTTGAGGGGCTTGATTGAGGTGTCTATACAGGTATCCTCGTCACGTGGTAACGGGAGACCCTTCTCAGCAGGAGAAAGTAGAGTCATGATTTTCGCCTTCTCATTTTTGGCAGCGAGTCCAGGGATACTCATGGAGGGCTGGGAACCCAGCGGATGGGCGGTAGTGCACGTGTTTCTTGAATTGATCAGAAAGGGCCTCGGCAACTCTACGGTGCAGCAGTTGCTAAACAGTGAAAAAGGGCGATCACAAAAGATTAGCCCGCAGCCTTCGCCAGATAGGCAGTCCAATCCCAATCCCATGCATGGGGTCACCATTCTACACTCCCACCGCATGGCTAGCTCGCCCTCTTCGCTCATCTGTTGCAAGCACTCATGCTGCTGCTTCTGGAGCTCTTGCTGCTGTTCGTGCAGCAGCTGTTGGTTTTGCTTTTGCTGTCTTACGTTTGGAGGAGGCGCGGGAGGGCCAGGCAGAGCACACCGAGATTGGTTCTCTTCGAAAAGCGGATGCACGATGAGGGGCACCACATCGTCGAACGGCAGACAACCGCCACCACAATCTGAGTAATCAGATGCTTGCCGCTTCTGCTGGTCATGAATCTGCGTTTGGCCAGGAGGCGATGCAGGGGAGTCTTTCACCTCTGTGCCTCCCATCCTGCGATGGCCATCTACGGCGTTTGCCGTTGGCATTAGCGCCGTCTGCACTTGACCAAGTACCCTTTGACCTTCCCGATCCTCACAAACGTGCTTCATGCCAGGGCCTTTGTTGCTCAAATTAGTGGCATTGCTGCTGCTCTTGCTGCGATTGCAGCTTTCATGTGTCCTGCTCCGTCGAGAGGTGGCATGCGAGAAGCTCTGGGCGAGACGGTGACGAACTCCAGCGGTGAGAGGGAAGGCAAAATGGATGGAGCTCTCTACGTCATGTATATGGAGCGCCGGAACCCTGCAGGCTGAACTCAGTCGCTGTGCCTCTTTTCCATCTCTCTTTCGTCCGCAAGGCTACTTGAGTGCCGGCAGTGCTGCCCATTGGTCCTTACGCGATTACGGTTGGTCTACAGGCACCAAGACCACTTCTTGACGTCTGTGTAGCAGTTACTTACCCCATGACATTGTTAAAGCCCTGCTACGTTGGTGTTGTGCCTGCTGCCTCTGTCGATGTTGCGGAGGCTGCCGCCTGACGATATAAATGGCCTTTCTCCCCGTGTAGAAGAAGATGATGAAATAAAAATCAGGGATTAACGGCCACCACAGCCCGAAAAAGTGACCCCCGTGAATTCTGATAGGAAGATCCCTTCAGGAGCTCCACTGCTTGCTTTTCATGAACGAACTTTTAAAAACCTGCAGCCTTTAGGAACAACAAGGTAGTACGGGGGTCTGACACATGGGAAAGTGGCTAATGTAATTGCTACGGCGGCCGTTGTTTGTAGTGGAGCATTTACTGCTGCTGCTGCTTCGCCAGCTGCGGCGTGGACTCCACGGCTCGATGATGCCCAGCTTGCGAATGCCGCGCAGCAGCATGAGTTTTGCGAAGCAGATATGTTGTATAATTGGGCTGGATAGGAAATTGCTGGCATAATTTGGGGAATATACCCCTAAGTCCTAAAGAATGGATATCCTTGGACGCAGGAGATGGCACGCAGTCGCCTCCTGGCAGGCGCTGTGACCACAGGGGTATTGAGAGCTCTTTCCGACAGCCTCCGGAGATACAACCAGGGGAAAATCTGTAACATGCTACTTTTCAACCAATACGGCTGCAATGACTTTGGCACACGCATGGTAAATTGCGTTTGCTAGCTCACGGGGGAAGACCATTGGGCACCAAAGGACCGCCTCTACTGCGTTTCTGCAGATGCCCCTGTCAACCCCAAAAGCATATTTCCCCCTCCACCCACAGCTAATATTTCCTCGCTCTCCAGAGCGACAACACTGGAGGGGGCTTTTGGGAACTGCAAACCTCATCTTGATGCCAGGGGGCCGGCGGGGGCACAAAAAGAAATGCGAAATTGAAAAGCGTAGAGAATTTTCGCAAGGCTTACCCTGAATGCAAACCCAAACGTATGGGTCGACCCATGCGATGGCTGCATGGATTGTTTGCTTGGCTTTGTACTCAGCTGCCCATAGCAGAGCTCATACTCGCTAATTGGGCAGACCAAGGTGAAACTACTGGCTCACACGATGGCTTGGGATGCCACGGATGCACATGCGGATGCGAAGGCGCTTCCTGTCAATCCCTTCACACTTAGTATAAATTCATGCCGGCCAACACTAACGGTCGGCATGCGCCATGCTGCTCTGTTCTTCAGCCGGCATGTGCGACAGTTCGATATAGCGTAAACCAGAACACGTGAAATAGAGGTGCAGCGGCTGTCCAGAGAGCAGCGAAGTATCGAAGGTAGGCGATGAGAAATCGTTTTTGAGTCCACCGGAGCTTAGGCGCGCAACCGCTTTTTTTAAAAAACGAAGAAAACGACGGAGAGCAGCAAACAACTGACTTTCCAGCCATATTCTAGTACTAGCTACATGATTCCCTTTAGATACACCAGTATGAACGCCAGTATGCAAAAGGAAGGACCTATGGTCACCGGGTGCAGCAGCACTAAGCAAGAAAGGACGGCAGCAACAAAACAGCGCAGACACCGCGAGACCAAACAGAGGACATCTGCGCTTCTACCAGTCGTCCACTTTTCTCCGCTTGATTTTCCTCCTTTTTTCTTGCCTAGTGAGTGTAACGTTGCCCCCCTGCTGTTGCTGAAGCATTAGTTGCTGCTGCTTCAGGTACTGGTGCTGCTGCTGTAGCATTAGTTGCTGCTGTTGCAGCAACAGCTGCTGCTGCTGGATGCACTGCGGCCTCTGAGCATCGCTGCCCACGTAACTATCAGCCCTCCCTCTTCTGCTGCATACAGAGGAGGGTGCAGCACCAAGAGCGCTGCTGCTGCTGCTAACGTGTTGGTGCTGCAGCTGCTGGGGTCTAGCGAATTGGGCAGAGAAGGATCGCAGCATGCTGCCACTGCCAGGCGGAGCAGGCTGCTCCTGACAAAGCTGCTGCTGCTGCATGTGCACCTTGCGAAAGGCATGATCTCCCAGGGCGGCAGCAGGAGCAGCAGAAAGAAGGAACGCGGCAATAGTTGCCGCTGTAGCCTTGGCGCTCTTCTCTGTACTGCCCCCGTTACTGCAGCCACCACTTGAGTTCCCCGCAGCACTTGCAGCGAGAGAAGAAAAGAATCCTTGCTCGTCGCTCCGAGCTTCTCCTTTTGCTTCTGGCAACTCGTGCTCCAGAAGATCCACGAGGGTGAAGCGGTGGTACCTGTGAGCCTCGGGTATGGGCAGGGGGGGCAGCGGCTGATGCAAGGAAAAGAATTTTGTTTGGTGCGGAAGGGTGTTAGACAAAAGGCCAGGACCGTATATGGCACGGGGTCTTAAAGTAGCCAGACAAAGCCGCGCGCAGAAATGAGCTTCCTGCTGCTTCACAAATGCCGTCCTGCAGCACGCCTCTTTCACAGCGGGAAAGTGGGATATGAGCAACAAAGCCACGGTGCTACGCCTCTACGCCCATCGAAGGAAAGATTCGAGCAAAAGACGGCACCCGCCAGCAACTAGTCGCAAGGCTGACTACTTGGAAAGAACTAACAAACTACACCTACCTCTCCGGATGCAATCCCAGCAGATCATCACAGGCGTTCGGCGGACGCCAGGGGTCTGGCATTGGAGGGGCGCATTTGCAGAAAAAGGGGCATGGTAACCCCTCTGATCCGGGGAGATCTGAAGATATGTGATGAGGCTCTTGAACTGGCCCTGCCATCCCCGCTGGAACGCAGATTATTAGGAGCAGTGGTCACGACGGCCCTTTTTGCCAAAGATCGTTCGAGCAAAACAACGAAAAAGCACTACGCCTCGTGCTTGCTGCTGCCTGTTCCTCTTGGTTGGTTGTTTCCCTCGTGGCGTCCATGCCCCTGCTTTCTGCGAGACGGCCGCCTTCAGAGACTGCTGCTGTCAGGCTGGGTGACGAAGGCGCCTGTGCCTGCCTTGTCTGCTGTTCGAGGCGGAGCTGACGTATCTTCCAGCGCTCTCTGATGTCACCGACGCCGAGACTGCTCTTGCACTTGCTCTTGATATGCTCTTTGCGGTGTCTGGCGTTTGTGCTGCGCCTTTGAACTGTTGCTCCTGCAGACTTGCACGCCACTGTGAGCCCTGCAAGCTAGCAGGGTTTACCGGGTGTCAAGCAGTAGCAGTAGGCACATATCTGATGCTCATGAAATGCAAGAAGTTCGCAGGAGAGGGTGGGAGGCGCCATTGCTCCTGCAGGCGGAGGTGAGGGGTTTGTTCGCATGCATGAATACGGGCGCTGAAGGTAATGTGCGCTTCGCCAGATGCGCAACAGCCAACTGAAGAGAGCAAAGGACGCACACGACGGCTGCTCTCACTTTGGCTTCCAGAGTTGCTGAGTGCAGGTTTGCCGTTTCTCAGTCCTGCCTACACTCGCAGCTGAGAAGTAGCAGGCCCGACAGCTTTTGCATAGACATTCGGCGAGAATAACTCCCACCAAGGATCTTGCCGTAATCTTCGAAGGCAAAAATGCGCAGAAGTCCAACAGAGTGATGGCTTTCGCACTCGAGAGCGCAGGCGCGAGCAAAGCAGGGGGGAAGGCTTGTGGTGATGGGGTGTCCAACCGCCAACATTCGAGTCTGCCCTTAGTTCTGAGGATAAATTGTTCGACAATAAAATAATGCGGCTACAAGGGAATTAACCAGAAACTACACTTTCGTCCAGTCTGATAATCCCAAGCCATTTCTTGAGTTCTGTCAAGACTCTTTGACTTGGTGCATGCACAACTCTGGCTTTGATAGTACCTTTCGAAATAAAGAGCTCCCTTGCATGACGTGAATGAGACGCTTTTTTTTGCGTTGTGGCTGCTCAGATTACTGTTGTGTATATTGCGGTTGGGGGTCTGACTCTTATTAGCTAGGTTATTTTCTCCTGACGGTTAGTGAAGTAACGGCCACTGCCTGGGCCAAGCTACGCATAAGCACTTTCTACCACACGTTATACTATTAAATATTGATAAAGAATTGACTGTGTAGCTGGGTTTTCCGTGTATCCTGTTGCAGACGAGACTTTCTAAACACATGAAATCAATCCTGTGTGCATAACACTACCTCTAAAGTATCTCGATAAACTTATTCCCTCGCTCAATGCAGGCTGAACACAGACTTTTTGGGTGCTCCACAGCAGAATTCCCTCATTCAACTGCCTGCCCTTCCCAGAGTTCCGAAACCAGGGTAGAGGGGCAGATAAGGGTGCGCGTAACTGCACACCCTAAGCACTTCTAGCATTCACAGCTAGTTGGGCTTGGAACCTAGAGCATATGCGCACATTATTTCTTCTTATATCGAGTCACCAGTGATCTGCAACTACAAGCAACGCTGTACTAATTGTTAGTACAAGATTCTCACCTAGTGTAGCAGACAGTGCTTCAGTTGAGTTGAACATGGTACATCTTCCCCCCAACCCGCTTTGCCAGTTATAACAGCACGCCTCAACGCCCTGTACTTGTCCGTCAACACCAACTGTGTGAGGGAAGGTAAAAACGCTCCCGCCCTTCTACCACTTCCCAGGCGCACAGAAGCGCGAAAACCGCTGCAAACGAGATAGGCGATTGTGTGCATCATCTGCCAAAGTGTTCAGCGGGAAGAACGACACATGCACTAGCCAACAACGAATGAGGAGTCAAATTAGCATAAGGCTCCGACATGGCGGCTTGCTCTTGTCGAGTCGCTGAAAAGTGTGATTTCCCTGGTATGAGGAAAAAGAAAACAAATACATAAGGAAATCAAAGTACACTAGTTTAGCATTGCCTTCAGAACGAAGAGAGCAACATTGACATGCAGCTACAGCTGATACATGCAGGATAATGGACACCAAAGCCACAAAGACGCGTGAGGAAGAAGGTAGGGAGAATATCTGAGAGCGCCTGCGCTTACAGCTCAGTGTGGCAAAATACTTGACAATAATACCGGGTAGCTGTTCAAGCAACGCATATAGGTGCAGATAAACTTTTCAAGCAGAGCATGCGCTAGTAAAGAACATTTCTTAAACAACGAAAGGAACTCAAGGAACGCTCTCTAGTGTGACAAGCGTTTTCGACAAAAATGGCAATTTCTCGCGCAGGCAACGAAGCCCACAGCTGCTCCTCCGTCAACCGCTAATGCTGGCGTTCCTTACCCCACCTCACCAGATTCTCCCGTGTAATGTGTTCTCGGCGCTCGTTTCCCATAGAATGCAGTGCTTTTACGGCTCGACGTGAATTTTGCGCCTCCACACAAGTCACTTGCCTGCCCGGCAAAGTCCGCAAATTACTCAGAGAGTTTTTAAAATACCTCTTCAGGAAACCATTGTTGACCACTATATGGCACCGCTGACTTCCAGGGAGATCGATAAACAACGAGAATTGATTTGTGAGGATGGGAAATGGTCCTAGTCACCTTGCTGCAAATTTCTGTATCTTGTAGCCCTCTGATGTACCTTGAAAAGCCTGCCAAGCCGCCAGGACGAAACCTTCAAGCTCGAAATACACTGCTGCACGCTGACTACCATAATACCACTTTTGTCTATCAGGCTTTGCGCATACATTCCTGCGCACTGTAGAGCTACTTTTCAAATCTCCCCGCTGCGAAGGGTGCCTACTGACCATGGGCCAACAGTTTCATGCCAGGCGAGCAGAGGTGGTGCTAAGAGTAGACTAAGGATGTGGGACCGCAACTGGCAGACGAGCTCACTGTCATATTACAAATCCACTCTGCACAAGAACCTCAAGCCGAGTAACTGGAGCTTTCGGAGCATATACGCACAGAAGCTGCAGAGGAGTGCATTTAGTGTGCTCGGCTTGCCCAGCTGCCACAGGGTGATTCGCAGATGTCATGTCATGGTCATTTTGCAGGGGCATCATAAAGGTACACCAGAACACACTAACGAACCTTGGATCCTTTCCCATGATGAGGCTCCTGGGCACCCAGAAAGCATGCGGACATGAGTTAAAGCAAAATTGAGTGATTTCTTGATTTGCGGCAGAGCGGAAGCAAGTAGTATAATGGACACAGTTGCTGAGTCCGTTGACAACGTAGATGCTCTCCAGAACCTTCAACCCCGGCAATCCGAAAACGGTCCATAGTCAATCAGCTTATTCTCATTCAGTAGCCGAAAGGCTATGCAAATAGCCGGGCTCTGGATAATTGGGCAGCTTCGGCTGCTGAACATATGGGCATGGTAGTGCATAGTTCTCTGCCAGGGGACGAATTTCACGCGCCTGCCGTAAAAGCTGTACTATAGCGTGATTACCACCATGGCACCAAAACAAGGTGGCACTGTGCTTTACGCAAAATCGCGCGTCAAAGAGAAGCCACAATTTACAAGTGACGGATTTGCTGGCTTTTTTTAAAAATCACAGCAGGCCATTCTCGATGTGGCAGTGCTTCAGCGTTTTGCCCATTGGAATTTTGGCAATAGTAGCTAATGCATGGAGGTGACGCGCATGACACGCCTTCAATGCCGATAGGGAACGTGGACGGTCACACAAAAGAGCGAATACAGTGCAGAATATTGAATTCATCAGGCGTTGCGAGGGCGCGTTGGCGATCACATTGGCGATCACGTTGGCGATGCCCTAAATGTACTTTACTTATAGTTATACAGCAGGAGGCACCCACATAAGTGAATGACTTTAGACTTTCAAGCGTCCTGAAGACTCCCCTTGAGGTACAGTAGAGCCCTGTGGGCATAAACAGCATATTGACACCCATACGAAAGTGCCGTCATTTTTTCAGGCGCCACGACGCAGGGTAGAGTTCCTTTTCCCGCACGTGATACATCTGCTCAGTTTCGATGATGCGATGAAAACGCAATGAATTTTCGCGGTGAGAAGCTGCAGCCTTGTAGTAAGGAAATAGCACCTATCACTAAACGAGAACATCTGTCATCAGGACGAAAAATGATGCTCATCATCGGGCAGCGCAAATGCTGGAGGACTGGTATGGAAGGTGATTACTGTCCTTATCGCAATATCCGTCTCCTTTGTGTAAGTCAAAGACTGTGTTTTTTCTTAAGTAGAAACTCAAAGGAGCGGCTATCAGAGCAACTTAAGCAATGGAACTTCGGTATTAAGATGCAAGCCCAAAGAACTTCGGAGTGTCCTTGCGGGTGTGGAAGAGTAATGGCCATTACTTTACGGTTTCAATTTTTTGCCAGATCTTACCCAGTTCCTACGTCGGAACGTGGATTCCCAGCCACACTACGGGTCTTCAAAGTGGTATCTTGAAGGCCTCTGCATACGAAATCCTGCATGCATTCGCATACCACTGCTTGGCCCGCAGCACCTAAAGCAGCAGCCGAATGTGTCGTAGGTATGCGCTCTTGAGCCTTTTGACTGAAAATCGAGACAAGTACTATACAGCCAGCCATTGAGCCCTCCTGGAAAAGTAGGCTCAGAAAATCCCGATCAATTTGCTGTTGCACTTCAGCTGCGGCAACAAAAAGTCCAAACGACACGCAGTTATACTTGAACCTGCGAGTGCCACAGTGGAACGCTGTGTTGCGCCTGTCAACAGTGCGAATGAGGTTTTGCAAAAGCTGCTTGTAATGTAGAATGTCAAGCGGACTGTTGATCAACGTAATCAGCGAAGAAACTCACCAATATGGGGCATCTGCAAATTTTGTGCCACAGTAATCTTGTCCGAGCGCATAATGTTAACGCGCATGCTCCACCTTTCCGCCATTTTCCGGCGTCGACGCCGGAAAATGGCCAAATGCAATTGCCAATTTCTTTAGCACCGGCCCTTTTGATCAAACCATCCGTCTGCAGGTCAATATCTTTTTCGTGCCTTAGGGAGGTCCGCTACCACGGACCAGCGAGATCGCCAATCAGCTTAAAACGGTGCACTGGACGACCAGCAGATTGCTAGCCTGCCGGCAGCTGGTCACTATTAACATCCGCACACTCCCTCTTAGTGTTTCTCCATTTCTGCTCTCTGTTTGCTAAAACTTCAATCAAACATTGCTAATAAAAACCCCAATCCCAGCTCACTACTACGGGGTATAATGTGCTTGAAACAGCGTTCTCATGCTGCTCGGCTCAGCCACCTGCATGAAGCCTCTGCCTCACGCTGCACCCATCGGCAAACTTGAGCCTCAGGGAGTGCTAGCGAGTGAGCAGGCAGACTACATTTTTAGTCCGTAACCTTATACAACAGACACACCTCACAACATGTTGCGAGAAGCGCTAGTAGGGCTTGGCCATTAATATGAGCTTGCATCAGTGCAGAATTCAATCATGATGGCATCCCCAATGCGGCTCTAAACTCTGTAGCTCTCTGCACTTCGCCGTAGCCTGAGTGGAGGCTCTCTGTCCCTCTTATGCACCTTCTGTGCTCGCCACACGGATTCCTTTTGCTAGGATCAGTCCTGTTGTACACGTTATTTGAAATTTCGCGTATGCCTGCCGTTTCGGATTACATGACTCAATCTCCCCCAATACATGCAGGTGCACTGTAGGGGAGCTATCCGGGGTTGCCTAGAAGCGCGGTTTTCTCCGAATTTCTTTTCGCGTTCAACTTGGACTGTACACTAAGGTCGTTCGCCTCAGCCTAGATATCCACATGTTCTCAAACCGCATTTACGCTATCCAGAGACGCTGGTAGTGCTCTTCTTCGCTCCGAAAACCTTAAGCAATTCCTCGATTCTTGGAGCCCACTAGTTTGTTCAGTGCCTGTGTCGCTGCCCATGTGGACACTACCTTATGTTACACTTAGGGTAGACCTGACTCAAGTCACTAATGGTGTAACTGCTTATCTACGTTGTAATCTTGCGAGCCACACTTTTATGTGCGTCGATATACCAGGCTGTTGACAAAGTGCCCTTCCTCAGCCTTCTCGATTCTCTCTAAGTTTGCTGCTGAGATTATTTCGACCAAACGATGAATTAGGTAGAAAGGCTTGAGTTGTAGCAATCCCTGCAGGCAAACGACTTCCTGCATATTAATAGGGCCACCATTGAAGTGGGTGTCCTTTCAGGAAGCGTGCCACCAGGAATCACATGTCGCTTAATCTTCGGGAAAGGGAGCGACGTTAATCCCAAACCGGGTGCTGAATTTTCCGCGGATATGCCCGTCTGTATGACCGTCATACTTTTGTGTTCGGCAATAATCTCATCGACAAATCCAAAAATATTCTATCGGACGCAAACTTGTGCATTTTAACGAGATGTGAAGACCGGAAAAGCGCTATTTGGAAACTGGCATCTCACTGTATCTGCTGTCGGTGGATGGGCAACGAATACCTGCATCGAACCCTGCAGTGCTTGCAGCTGGACGCTTTATCAGAGGTCTCCGTAGGGAAACCCTAAACACAAACTCAGCAAATCATAATCGAATAACTGGGTGCTTCTGGAAAGGGCTCAAGCCTTTCTTGCCAGCGCCTCTCAGAATTCCCGAAATGCGGAGAGGGGGAACTTGGGTGCGTGTGAGCACCTACAATTCACTGCTTGTTGCAGATCGCACCTTCCCAACACTCACATCGCGTCTTCTTGTACCAAGCTATCATCACTTAGCGAAGAATACGAGCCACAAACAGGCAAGTCACATAGTCGCTTGCTCTTTGGTTCACAGTCAAGTATAACTACTGTAGTAGAAGAAGTAACCCTACACTTTCCCCGCTACTGTTTTGCCCGCTAGGCACTTGGCAGAGGCTATCACCCAGTAGGGCATGCAGCCTCCTGCTTCAGCACTCAGTTATACCTGCAGGCCATTCCATTCGGGAAGTTGTTCGACGGTTAGGGGGTTGCTTGCAATGCAGCCGAATCGCCTCGCCCTTCTTGTAACTGCTCCTAAAATCGCTTGTCTTGTGCTTCAGGAAAACATTGTATCCACTCTTCATGTTAACATGCAGAGTGCCTTATAATTCCAGGGATGCTAGCCCCCCTTCTTATTTCAACGACCTACTATCGCAGTTGTAGTCCAATACTGGTCCAAAATTGCTCTTGTGACCACCCAGTAACTAGTTGCATTGAATTCAGCTTTGCTATATCGTCAAAAGTCAGCTGCTTTGAAAATTACGCATTCAAATAAGCTAATTAGATATCATTGATTCGATACTACCTCGCCCGAAGATCAAACGGAAGAGATTCACACCGGGGGCATGTCCCTGGTATTCCTTGTAATAGACAAAATCACTGCAGCAAGTCTACCTACTTTCTTCTTTTAGATCTCCTAATCTTTTTTCAATGTGTTCCGCCACTCAGAATAACGCTTAGGATGTAGGAATATGGGCTCAGAGCATTGTCTTCCCATTGATCAAGTGTGCCCGGCATACAAATTGGTGGCAGAGAGGTGAGGGGGGGCGATGGGGGTTTTTGGTTAAGCTGTAAAAATATTGATAGATATACCATGCGGTATATTTCCGATATATTAAAATCTGTATTCGTTGGTTAGATCCTTGTTTTTCGGCGGGCATGTCTCTGGGGCCCTATGTGACATGTCTTCTCAGTTGCATTCCATCGTTCTGTGCAGATCGTACTCCCACAGCTCGCATATCAAGTTTGAGTGACAGCCACACCTTCATCATCTCACTAAGTTCTGAATGCTGAACGGTGTCAGGTTTCTACGTTGCCCAGCTACGCAAACGCAGCTGCTGTAGACCCGCAGCGACTGCATTAGTGAAGGAGATAAGGCTTCAAGGAGTCAGTCTTGATGACAGGGCGAGAGAATGGTGAGAAGACCTTCCAGGGGTGTCCCCAAGGCGAGAAATGCCCGGATGACTCGTTGGAAATGTTCCTCATGGAAAAGGAAATCCACAACCATTTGTGTTCATTAGAGCGCCACTTGGATGCATTTTTAGTGCTTAAACGGCTACAGGGCAGGCTGAAGAAGCTACTTGGTGGAGCAGGAGGGGAGGATCATGTGTCCGGTGGAGAAAATGATTCTAGGCTTGTTGCAGAAAGCGTAAAAGAAATGACTGAAAATGATCCAGAGTTCGTCGAAACTGCATTCCGACGTCTTATGGTTGCAGAAGTATATAGAGATCTGGGTAAGGAAGACTGCAGAGAACGTCTAGATTTAGCAGCGCCTCTGACAGATAAACTGATTCAGCAGCTACGGGAAGAAAAAGCGCAAATGGGCAATCGCAATCCATTGAGTGGGATCGAAAACGCTACAAAAGGCAAGAAACATGCATTAAAGGCAAAAGAAAATAGCAGTGAACCGTCCTTACTAAACAGGGTACTTGCTCAAACCGCGCACCCCCTCCTGGCATCCGAACGGCCAGGGACTTGGTAAGCCAACTGGTATCACGACGTCGTACAATTACTGGTACCGTGCGCGAATTTGTGTGCGTATAATGCTGCTGGACTGGTATGAATCCCAGCTTTTATATTTATAATCTACAGTTTGTAGCATGTATGTGTAGGAAAGAGGTGATAAACGACGGCCAACAGCTCCGGATTGCACTAAGAAACTATGATGACAACCCAGAGAAGCTCTCATTCAAGATCGAGGGGATTGTAGCTGCTCCTCTTCTTTGTATACTCTCTGTACTCAATGAAGTCGACCATTTTATAAACTGGGTACCCTACTTCACTAGGCCATTCAAGTACGTGATACAGATCTGGCTACTGAAATCACATTCTGCGGGCTCAAGACTTGCTGATAGAAAGTAAAAATTAAGGCGAATCTCAGTCTTGTAACAGCTCAGGCTTTTCGCATGCAGTCCTGCAGCAGCTTGGGCTCTTTTTGCAAGTGTGTACCATAAATAGCATTTGTCTCTTGGGGTGCTGAAGGCTAGGCTTGCGAAAGGTGGACAACCAGAGGCTCGGTCGGGTCGACCAAATGGTGCACCTACATATCGACTTTCCTTGGCCCTTTACAAGCAGGTAGGCTCAGTGCATAGAAGTACGCATGTTGGTAGAGAATATATGAGCAAATGGAGCATCTGTACAGATTCGAGGAAGAGTGCTTCTCCTCGACCCCTTGCTCGTCTCTATAACCGCTGCACGTATCGTAGTTTAACGGCGTAGAATTTGAGGTCGAGAATTCATGCAGGGACGCGTGCTTTGAGGTGTTTGCGGTGGACGATTTTGAGCGAAATTCTCAAATTGTTGTCAAGATGATTACTCTGGACCAAAAGTACAAAACACCCAGGCAGAACATGGTATGTGCTTTGGTGTAGCAGCAATCTTGTCTTGCTTGGGGTGGCCTTTCAACTGGGTTTATGGGTTGTGTTCACAACACGGCATTATCAGGCATTTGTATGCTTAGGCAGTACGGGAATTGGGAAAAGCTGCACCGTGGTATGCGTGTGCCTCCATAGTACACGCAGAAAGTGCACCAATACAAAAGACGCATTCATTTACAGCCTGCAGTTTTATTCGAAGTGCAAATAGATGCTCGTATCAAGCTGTAGAAATGTACCTCTGAATGCAGGTTTCGCACGCACAGAGATGAAATTATTGTTTTTGACTCACCCTCTCTGATCCTGTGTGACTGCGCGCAGGATATTCCAGCCCCTGCCCGGCGAGTGGAGCGAATTATCGTAGACGGCTCGTTGGTGATACGACCCATTGGGCGTGACTCCTCTCTGCTGTCCCTTCTGTGGCATGAAAACTGCAGAATGCGCGTTCCTATCTTCATGGCAGATTTTGTCGCAAAGCAAGCAACTTCACGAGCCACTGAAAACACTGTTCTAAACCACGAATCCAAACTCGAGTATCTTCAATGCTTTTTGAACGGAGTCACATACACTCACTAATTTTTTTCGTCACACTTCAAGGCTAAGATGTCATGGCATATTTTGCATTTCTTCCGTTGTTATTTGCTTATTGCCATCGTCTTTCGCGCATGCTCTCTCTCGCGAGTCGTTCGCGCTGCTGTGCTTGAGTCCTTTCCGGTTTCAACGTGCCTGTTCTTTACGCTCTCTAGACGTTTCTGTAGGCAAGTATTCATCTGCGTCTGCATCTTATTCGGCTTTTCTCATATTATGCTATGATGTCATCATGTGTATACGTGGGCTGTGGGGTTGTCTTAAATTTCGCCTTTTCTTTAGGCTGTTCGCTCGCAAAGCATTCGATGCATTTAGGCGGACATGCGAAGGCGCGCGAGCAGGTGTATTGCAACAACGGAGGAAACAGAACACAAGTCTTTACGGATTCATCGCCGATAGACTCGCCCAAGTCGGGCTGGGCAACACGTTTACCCGATACATTGGAAACAGCCTACTATCAGAAAAACGAGAAGAACTCCACGTTAACGAGCAATCGAAAGGAAGAGTGGGAGTGCTTTAGGGAAATAATTAGATATAAACATGCAAGGGAACACGAGGAAGGGAGAGACAAGGGCAAGGAATAGGACCGCGACACAGGAGCAGGTTGATCAAGGGAGGCACCAGCCGTATGACTTAAACGCTAAAATAATGCCTATTACTTGATGTTTTCAGGATCAACCAGAAGAGGATAGTGAGTTTTTTGATGTGGACGACGAAGGTCAAGACAATTCCTGAGGAACACTTGAAAAAAGCTCTTGGCGCTGAAATAGTAATGCAAAAAGCAAGACCAAACAACCATAAAAGCTAACTGTCTAACTGCCCGAGTGGTTTTTACTAGTGAGCAGCAGGAAGCATTACAGCGCAAGTAACACTGCGGCAGCATCAACAACAGGGGCCCAGACAAATCCCACACGGGAGTTTGGTTCTTCGTCTGCAGACAAGCTTCGGCTTTTTGTTTTTTTGGGGTTCACCCCCGCCAGTGGGTGGCTGAAATGCAGCTGAACTCAGCGTGCTAATATTTTATTCAGTGTATGCTTTGCACCTCGAAGCCAACCGGCACATACGCTTTTGTTCGTACATCTCTGCGTGTGTTCTTAGGCGTGCTTTCACATTCATGCATGTACACAAGTGTTTCTGTGGGTAGTAGTACATGGTCTGACTAGTCCTATCTGTGCAGTCAGTCTTTACGTGCATGTGTTTTCAAACATAGACAATGGCATGTACGTGCGCTGGGTAGATAGCTTGACCTCGTGTTGCAACGTGAGGCATCAGGATTCTTAGTTTAACATGCAAGCTCATATAAGGAAAACTATGAACGAAATTTCGTGTGTCTGTTATTAGATGGCTCCTCTGTAACTCGAGTATTAACGGTGGACTTAAACTACAAAATTTTTGACCGACATACAGGTCTTATGCCTCCGTCATCCTGGAACTCCTCTTGCATTTGTTCTAAGACGGCCTCGCCGTCAGTCATTAGCACGGGCTGCTGAGATGGCTACTGATAGCTTACTTGAATAAGAAGGGTCATGTTGTAGGGGTTTTCGAGACAACGCTGAAGGGATATTGCCACCGGCCGTGGGACTGACAGTTTGCCGCATAGCAGCTTTCGCACTTAGATTCAGCTGCAGCTTACTGAATGGGTTGATACAGCTTACTCTGAATACTTATCTAGTTTGGCCACAGAATGGATATACAGCGCAAGTGAACGCAATCAACTGACTGTTTCGTCCTTCTGTCAAAATCGGTGAACTGATGAAGCCAGCTAGCCGTAGGTGCCCATCTAGCTACGGCCAGCCCAAGCATGCAAATCTCAAGTAGCTGGCCGATTTTCGGTATGTAAGCTAGCGCTTTCCCTTGGGTGTCCTGGAAGAGACCATAGATGGCATGCCAAGCCGAAGCATAATAGAAATCTCTGTCTTACTTGCCAAAAGGCTACCATACTGCAGCCAAGACCACATGATCCTGGAATACGTGAAAATAAGCGGAGCTTATTTGCGTTATCCGAATTCGCAGAAAGTACAGCCAGTCACATATGAATGGCACGACTAGAGTGCAACGGGCATTGCGTGCATTACCGTGGAAAAGGGCAACGCATGTACAGTAAAGGAGGAATTTTAAAACATTCAATTTACTTTGGCAACGACTGTGCTTCAACCATGGTCAAGTCTAGTACAAACTTATCCTATTGCATGTTCCCCTCCTGCTGCTCGGTATGTTACCAAATCCCAGTAGGTGCCAAAGACATTCCTCACAGAGCTTACGATGTATTCATGCCCTATCGCTGCCTCTTCTTGCAGAGCAAATAGACTCCAAGTCAATAGTGCGCCCTCTGAAGAGAAACAGAGAAGGAAGGCACGGGTTTGCCTCCGGGTAGAGCTTCGCATACACGTCCACGGCCCCCGCATCCGTGGCTACCACCTTGGCAACAAGGCCAGTGGTCCCTTGACTAGCCGGAGCAATAATAAGCCGCAGGAATATGTACCCCATCAAACAATGTCATCACCACACGGTGGACTTCAGCGAATTCCTATGCCCGAAACGGCGTCTAGAGTCTAGGGAAAAGATATCCGTAAGTACCTACAGACCAGTATCTACATAGGACACACATGATAGTAAAACATCGAAGTATGGATTGATCAAGATAGATAAAAGTTATCGATTCCGACCCACGGTCCGTATGATCAAAATGCAGTGGACATTTGCTCTACAATCCTGACAGTACCATGCCAATGGATGAGAGCACAGCCAAGCACGCGCAATCCACTTGATGCTGGAAGGCAATTTCTTTTATCTGTTGCGCGTGAGGCTATGTAATGCTCCCTCTAGGATCTGTCAAAGGAAGTCACCCTAACAAGAAGTGATAGAACCATGTAAAGAATTTTAACCTCGTTCCCGTGGGACCGCCTTCTTCTTTTTGCCTCCACACATAAAGGGTCGCCCGCCTTTGATGAGAAGCGACAGGTGGGACGCAAGTAGCTCTACTTTGTCGGCAATCTGCCAGCTTGCACACAGCTGCACACAGTCGCCTGGCTTGTATGTACAACAGCATACATGTAAATTTTATAGCTCATGATCTCTAACAACAAGTAAAGCACATAAAAGGCCAAAATGCACAGCAAATAGCTAAGTGAGCCTTAACAAAGCATTTCTGGCTCAGGATTTATTGTTATTCTCTTAGCTTGGCCACATACGGTTGTACTCAGGGCGCAGCTCGCTGCCTCCCGGCTGCACCATGTGCACATGAACGAAAGTTTGCAGTGTGGGTCACGTATTTGTTTTGAGGGGCACCATGAGTATTTGGAACACTCTGCTCCATGCTTTTCTGCTAACAGTTTTCCCGATTAATAAGTATTGCAGGCTCACCTAGTTTTACGCACTTTCTACTGCACTAGTTAACATGCGATTGAGAATTATTAAAGAATGTACTATACAGCTTGTCTTTTTATACCTGTAGTTTATTGGAGAGTATCAATGCTTCAGTTTCAGATTACACGATAATGTGGGCATGCGTGCTAGATGCCACGAGCAACCAATTGTGAAAACTAGGAGTGCCTAGAGAGCTACGTCACACGCACCCTAGCTGCCTCTCCCCTCATTTTAAAAGCCTACAGCCTACGGGTTGGCATGGCCACGGGAATGAGAGATCTCTTTTAAGAAATATTGTGTAATCGTTTGTTAACTTTATCCTGAATTTGGTGTTCATGGTCACTCTCTACCGAAACCTCGAATGAAGCTTCCAGTTGCAAGCACCGCATGGTTCGATGCAGTTGATCCTCGCTCACCCACTGGTTGCGAATGACATGGTGTCAGGCTTTCTTCTATCATTTGCCCGATTTCAACTATGTACTTGGCAGCTCCAGACAATGCATGGAGCGTTGCGAGTGCATTGGGAACAACTACACTAGACTAACCATGCACACGCTAGGAAAATAGCTGAACAATACATCCCTTCTTTTTACGTAAATGCCATGTAGTGTAGAAGCGACAGCAGAAAAGCGGCTCTGCTGGGAACCGAAATACTCTGAGAGTAGAGCCCGATACATTTGTCACTGCCGTGCTTATGGAGAAGAGAAAATTAGAGCTGAATTGTGACTTTAGGAACAGGAAAGGATCCTTTTAGCAACTATAGGAGGAGCTTCTTGAAGCTTTTCATTGGCTTTCAGGTTGAACGAAGGGAATACTGGGTGAAACAGGCGCCAGTGCTGGGTGTACTAGTGAGCCCCTTCACACACTGCAAATCCAGAGATGACTCTACTTTTGATGAATAAGGAACGATCGAGGCAGGCCTTGAGGGCGGGCAAAATGCCACACAGTGTTCACCTCGCAATAGCGCTTGCCACGCTATGCGTCGTGGGATGATGCTTCGCAATAGGAAGCAATGCTTCTAAACGAAAGGCAGCAGAAATAAGAAGGCGAGTGTGGTGCATTCCACATGCGTAAGTAACTCGATGAAGAAACGTGCATTGGAGACCGAGGCAGAAGTCTCGGTTCGGTGCCGCGGTGTCTCCGCAGCCCGATTCGCGGCCAGCGACGGGAGCTCTTTGTTGGTCTTGCTGTGGCGCAACTGACGGTATTAGCAGGTATTTCTTTCTTCGTGTCACCCTTATTTATGGCAATATTGAAAGTGATGCTTGTGTTTCAGCCGTGGGGTGCTGCCTAAGACATCCAAACCCCTACCACGCTAGCACGAGACAAACGTACTTCGCCCGGTACGAGCACTATGACTTGACAAAACTGCTGGGGGCGAAAGTTTTAGCAGCCAGGGGCTTTGAAATTGTATTTGGAGCTCCAGATCCTTCGCAGTTTTTGAATTCCAAACACTTTAGGGTGAGAAGTTCCTGAAGGGATACCTGTTTATGCCCTTGCTCCGAAGCAGTTCGAGGACGGCGCTTGGCACTAGGACTTGCCGTCCAGAATCTGTTTTGGGGGCCCATGATTCAACAGTAGGATTCGAAGGTGTTAGATTTGAGATTTGTGCCAAGGATTCATGAAGAATCGCCCCCAAATCTCCCGGCAGCTCTCGACCTGCACTCCAACTCCAAAGTCTCGAACTGTGGGCCCGTAGGGGTCTAATTCGAATCTTCGCTTGGCTTGAGGCCGTGCACTCAGCCTTACAGATACCTGCGGCTTACTGAAGTGCAAGAGAGTGCCGCCCACTATGTCTGCTCCTCCACTTCTCCTTCCCTTCCCGACACACCAGGAACTGCCCGCTGCAGCCCCCGGGGGGTCCTCCTACTGCCACCAAGCCCAGCCAGCGCACCATAATACTGGCCTACAGCAGCAACAGGAGTTATCGCTGCAGCAGCAGGGCCTCCAGGCGTCGAGTGACTCGGCTCGTTCCACTCTCCGGCAGCTGCTGCAAGGGCAGCAGCTGTCGCAGCAGTTGCAGGAGACAGCAAAGGGACATCCCCAGCCGCAGCTGCAGCTTCTAGCGGGCTGTCACGGCGTCAAAGGCGGCAGTTCGAGAATCGGCCCATTCATGGGAGCCTTCGAGTCATTCCAGCAGCTGCAACAACCGCAGCAGCATCTGCTGGTGACAGGCCCCCCTGCAGATGCGGTCGACTGGCTCCAGCAGCAGCATCAAGTGGCGGCAGTACCACAAGGAGCAGCAGCGACGCAGGTACTTGACGAATTGCAACAGAGTCTCGAAGATTCAAACGGCTTTGCTACCCGTTGCGAGGACACAGCGGCAGCAGCGGGTACCTTAGCAGTGGGCGTAAACGCAGCAAATTCAGCGTCTGCATGCGTTCCATCACAATGCCCGTCCTCAGCGCACGAGGGCACTAGGGGGGTGGCTCCTCCACCTCCAGATCACGGCTGGCTACCCTTGGCACTAGGCACGCCAAACACAGGACTAAGAGTCACGGCAGCAGCAGCCGAGGACAGGGTGCCTTCCCTCTCGGCAGCCGCACTGGCATCCGCCCCCGAAGCAGCAACGCAGGATCTGCAGGCAGAAGAAAGACACTGCTGGATACAGAGGCAGCTGCGGCATCCACAGCTCCTGTCATTTGCACTGGAGACGGACAAGGAGAGTGTGTCCACGTTCCACTGGGGCGAAACGCGAGTTGGCAGCCAGAATGATGCTGCTGCTGCAGCGCTTGCTGCTGTGCAGCTGACAGCCCAAGCAGCGAGAGCTGCAGCAGCAGTTCAAGATGCTGCCGCTGTTTCTCAAGGTACAGAGCCCTCTACCTCGGAAACATCGGCTGGCGCTGAGGCTCAGGGGCCGACGCCAACGCAGCAGCAACACCTGAGGCAGCAGGCGAAGGCGTCTGCGCAGGAGCAGCTCGAGAGTCAACAACCCTCCCAGCCAGCAAAGTTGCAAAACACCTCCCGGCGCTGCTGCAGCCTGCCCGCATGCCCGCAGAGGACACGTCTCCGCACCAAAGGCGGGCAGAGAAGTGTCTCTTGTGATCCATCGACCATAGGGACGACTAAACAGGTGACGCCTACATGCTGAGCAGACGGAGCAACCACGCGCATTGCTTCTATTTTATCGTCAACCTTTGGGTTGCAAGGGGGCCGTTGGGTGCAAATGCACGGTGGTGTGTGGCGATGGGCAGCGAGAAGAAACCCCTGCCTCTGCCTGCTGTCTTCGTATGCAGGAAGGAGGCGACAAGATGAAGAAGCTTGAAAGGGCGGGGGAGGCGTCGCCAGACACGGCGTCTCCCAATCCCGCAGCCGCACACCAGCCAGCAGCAGCGAAAACATCGAATGAAGCAGTTCACTTGCAGCGCGTCCTGTATTTGTATCCTTCAATTTGCGAGAAGAGACTGACGGTTTCTGCCGTCTGTTCCCCTCGGCTTGTGCAGTCCGTTATGGAGCAAAGAGCGAAGCTTGACCAGATCTTTGACTCTGGGAGAGGTCAGTGTGTAGGGTTTGGCTGGGCTCCTTCAGTTCTCGTGCCTCTCAGCAATGCGCAATTGGCTCGAGAGTGCGCTTTTCGTTTCAAGGGTCCTACTCTCGCCGAAACAGACGTCTGCCTTGCTCCCGCGTGGTCGGGCGGCTTGGGGCAGTTTCTGGCAGCAGGTGAAGGGGGTTGCGCCGTTGTGGTGTGATTCGTGCACAGCGCACCTGTATCATCAAGCGAGGGAGTCGCTCTTCCCTCAGGACTCTATGCGAAGCAAGCCGAACCACAGCAGAGCAGGCGACAAAATAGAGGAGATGAGTTTCTGCATCGACAAGTGGTGCAGCCGCCACTGCGGCAGCGACGGCGACGGGTGCGGCCTCTTGGGAGCACTCAGTGGAGGCTGCCATCTTCAACAAGCAGGAGCAGAGCCTCGAGGAGGCACCGATCCACGCAGCGCCTGCGCCGTGCAGCAGGACGCTGCAGAAGCAGGTGCAGGGAGTTGCGCTGTCGAACTAGCAACAGAGGCACCAGGAACAACAACCCCACCGGCGACGAAAGTTTTCGTCGATCTCTGCGGCGGTCCGGGAGCGTGGAGCTTGTTTATTCTAAGCCGATGCCAATCGGGGGCATGGGAAGGGGGAGGTCTGGCAAGCCATGACTTGGCGAACCTTTCGAACGCGCGCGCCTCCCACAGGGGAGATATCTTTGCGGCAATTGCCGAGGAGGTGCTGCGACGCCTGAAGCAACCGCAGGCTCAGCAGGAGCAGCTGAAGCAGCAGCAACAGGGCACGGAGATCTACGGATTCGGAGTCACAAAGAAGGGTTCCGAGCTGGCCAAGAGCACCGAGTGGTATTCTACGCTCATCAGTCATTCCCACTTCCAACGTAAGAAGCGGAATCCCGCAAGCTGCTCCTGCCGCTACGCCAAAGCTGCAACTCGGAACTGTCCTCCTTTGCTCGTGCATGACTTCTCGAACGCGTTTTGGGGAGATTCGCGCTTTTGTTGATCCCCTTCTCTGCCGCGTCTCTGCCTAGCCTCCACCTCGTTCTCGCCCAGCCTCTACCTATCCCCTGCCTCGCCTCGGCCTAGCCTCCGACTCTCTGCCAGCGTTTTCCAATTGCTGCTCCGGCATCCAGGGGCGTCTGACCCTCCGCGTGTACCGGTGTGTGCAGCTCTCTGGGGGACTGATGGCACGGGAGACATCTGTGCTGCGGGAAATCTGCAGCACGTAGCGAGTGAAATCTTCCAGTTTCTTCGCTCCAGGAAAGAGCAGCAGGGGCCGCAGCAAACCCAACAGCAGCAAGAGCAGCAAGCGCAGCAAGGCGTGCACTCTCCAGCCAACGCAAAGAATGCCGAGCATACTGCAGGTTTGTAGCGCGCACCCGTTAGGGTTTAGAGGGCGTTTGCTCTGGGCTCTAGCTCAGGACCTTAGGACCAACAAGGGTTTGGAATCAAGAGCTTGTCGCGTGTTTCTGCAGAAGATCCCGTCTTGAACTTTGAGGAAGGCGTTGCACTCGTGGTTGCAGACGGTGGCTTCCAGCTCTGTAAGCTCCAAAGCCCCAGAACCAGAGGTGCCGTTGGCTAGCTTCGTGTTTGTATATACACTCGTTTGACCATCTATGCATTCAAAGTCGCCTCTCCGTCCGCGATCTTGCATGCCACCCTCTGCGCCCATATCTGCCGCATTCGCTTGCTGGTGCTCCTACATCGACCGAGAGTGTGGCTTGTTTCCGAAGCGTCATGCTTTGCAACGCCGTCATACTCTAGGTAGCAGCGATTTGCCTTTTGCGTCTGCAGCTTTGCACGAAGGCCGTCACGTGGAGAACCTTCAAGAACTGATATCTGGCCCTCTGCTGCTATCTGAGCTGCTCGGAGCGTTGCTGTTGTTGCAAGAAGGGGGCCACTTTGTTCTCAAGCTGTTTGACTGTTTTTCTGTCTTCACTGTCAGTCAGAAAAGGCTCTTTGAGACCTGAGGATTTAGAGTGCTGGCTATGACGCTAGGCTGCGCGGCAAAGGCGTAGGCTCTTGAGGTTGGTCTTCAAAGACCACACAGCTTGGCGTGTCTTCCGTGTGTGTTTGCTGCAGGCAAGTGTAGTGTACGCTGTTAGGCAGTTGTTTAGGGGATGTTTAATCCTGAAGCCTGTGCGGAGCAGGGCGGTGAACAGTGAAAGGCAAGCGAACCCAAAGCTAACGACCTAAATACACTCGCATGTAGCGTCTTCCTAGGGCTTTGATAGTGCGCCTAGATGAGGCGCTCATCTAGGGCGGCACTCAGAAACGGGTTTAGCGCTGGCGGGAGCCACAAAATCAATTGATACGAGGGGGAGAAAGGGATCCAGGGAAATGTAGCTGCCGAAGGAGGGAGAGGATTTTAAGAGAACACACACAAGATCAGGCGTCGAGCTGCTTCGAGGAAGTGCCTACATGCCATTTGCTTCCCTTCTGATGTGGTTTGGTTGCTTACAGGTACCTGGTGGGGCTGCACTTGAAAAGCCGGCGCTCTCCTTTCTTCCTTTCGCTGTTTCACGCGGTCTCGTCCCTCCATTTCTTGTACCAGCAAAATGCTGTGCCCAGATGTCACCTCCCCGAGGCTATCCTCCCTCCCGAGCTCTTTCTTACAGGTCAGACGCGATAACCGGACCTCATTGCCTTTTCCCAAAAGAGCGGCCAGCAGGCCCCCTGTAGAGCGCTCGGCTCCCTGGTGTTTGCGTGTCGGCATGCAGATGTTCGCTTCATGAAGAGCCTGAGCGAGGCCGCTACAATCTTGTGCGTACGCCAGTTTGTTGCCATCTCCATGGTCTTATCCAAGGTAAGCGCAGCTAGATACCAGCACACCGGAAGCCGTACCCACTAGCCAGAGCGCAGGCACGGTTCGAGGCATGCAGCTTGGATTTTGTGGTTGGCTTGAGGGCGTAGTGCTTTGGGTTGGAGAGTCTTGCGTATTCAGGTACAGGAACTGCAGCAGGGGAAAAAAACCAAGTATCACCGTCAGCAGCTACACAGCGGTAACAGCAAAAGGTCGCCGCTGCCTCCTCTAGAAAACACTCTTGAGCAACTGCGGCTGTATCATAACAAGCTCATCAGCAATGGTGGCAGCAGCTTTCCCGGTCTTAAGATGCCTGTAGCCCCCGGAAAGCCACCTAGGCTCCATCAGCAATCCCTGTTGCAGCCGCAACAGCGGCAACAATACGTAACTCTGCCCCCTCGGGGAGTAAAGACGCTGTTCACAGCACCCCGTGGCAGCACTGGCAGCAGCTGGGGGGTCGCTGGAGGGCAGGAGCAGCAATTGCAGCAACGCGACAGGGAGACTGACTTGCTGCAGCTTCAGCTGAGGCAACTGGAGCAGCAACTGCAACAGCAGAGGGAGGACCAGAAGAAACAGCAGCAGCTACAGCTGCAGCTGCAGCTGCTACAAATGCAGCAGCTGCAAATGCTTCAGTACAGAAACATCAGTACACTCACCCCAGAGGCGCTGCAGCAGCAGCTGCTATTGCAGCAGCACCTTCAGCAACAGCTGCAGCAGCAGCAATCGATGCAGCAGCGATTGCGGCCCCAACAACAAGAACCGGTTTTTATGGGTCTACAACAGCAGCAGTTGCAGCAGCAAGAACAGCAATCAAACACGAGCGTGTACAAGCATCTTTTTCAAGGGCCGTCATTGTCACAGCAGCAGCAGCAAGTGCAGCAGCAGCTCCACCGCAAACAAAGTGGTTCTGCTCTTGCGGAATCAGCACCAACAACAGATGCAGACACAACGCTTCCGGAAGGTTCATTGCTTGAAATGGGATCTTTCCTTTCCCTAACACACAACCAGCAGCAGCAACAATATGGCCAGCACGGCGTACTCTCTGCTTCTAACTTTGGAGGGTTGGGAGTACCCGATCCTTCTGTGGTGGAAGCAGCAGGGCAGCACCAGCAGCTTTTGATACTGCAGCAGGAGAGAGCGAGACTCGCACTACAGCAGCAGCAACTTGAAGCGCTGCACCAGCAACTACAGGAAGGAACAGACCATAATCGGCAGGATCAGTAGGCCAAGCAGCAGCAGTAACATGCTGCGTGATCATGGCGACCAGTGCTTAGGCTTTAGCATTTTGTTTGTGTGCATCCCACGCCTGGCATTTTGGATGAGGTTCTATTGGCTAAAACCCGTCTATTTAATAATTTGAAGGCCCAAAGTTCCGTATATCCCTGGCGCCTCAAGGACTGCATGTACTGCTGGTCCCGTAGCCTCCATAAGGATCGCCTCAGCTCTAAAACCATATTGAAGCAAAGAGAATTATTAAATGAATGCTCCAAAGAGCCCCCGATCGTGCGCTGCTCTAGCCCCTCACAGTTCCCAGCATGAGGTCCGAGATATAGCTAAACTGCACATTAGTATACACCTAAGCACCGATCAGCTGCACTAATTGCAACGGAAGGTTCGGCGGGCAGCGTTCGTTCTTTAAATTTAGGACTTACCAACCCTACTGGCCAAAAATCGAACATTCAAACAGCCACACCATGCAGTCAATGATTGAGCGATTCATAATTCTGCGAAGGCAGAAGAAACGGTCAAAGTGCTGCGTGCTCCTGGTGAAGTGCATGTGGTAGTGGCAATTAGAGATGAGTATGCTGATAGGTGCGGCGCCTGATATGCCCCTACCAGTTCGGCTATGCCTTGAATCGTGGATACACGCTGCAACCGACGAGATTATTTTTTCTAGGATGGCGTGCAAGTAGGAGATGTACAAGGCTATGTATATTTTGCATGAATGCAGGCGCAGTGCATCCGTACATGATGAATTTAAAAGTATATCTATGAGGAATGTGTGTGCATAGAGACATTTATGCCTCATTCGAGCGGTTTACACCAGTGTGTGACCACGGGTGCCTCAATAAAATGCAGCAGCGAACCAGCACTGCAGCGATGCTGCTGGATTTGGCAGCAACGCCAGTGACTCTTGGTAGGCGCGCTGGAGATGCTTTGCTGCAGCAACCACTCATGGAAGTGCCCTCCTTATGCCTTGTACAATGCGCACTGCCCCTGAACTTTGCTCGTCCACTTCCAGTTTGACTTTGTGGCTCGGAGTTAGGCCTAAGAACTTGGGGTGGTTTCAGCTGTGGCCGCTGGACCTTGCGCGCATGCCATTTGCTCGGGGCCGTCGTGTCAAAATTTGGCATTGGGGGGATCATGCAGATCGAGTGCTTCGGATTATTCGAGTATTAGCATTTAAACCGTTGTCGCAGGCATTTCCTATTGAGGGGCCTCTCCATGAGTGGCGACCCTAGTGTGTAGTCGCCCGGAGTGGTAGTATCGACAGTGAGCGCGCTGTCATATGCCACTTCCTTTCTCAGGCCCCTTATTCCGTGAGCCTTAGAAATTCAAGCCGAAACTTCCGCTTTCCGAGCCAACTCTGGATAATCCAGCACGTTTTACGAGGAATGCAGCAGTGCCCAGGGTACCACTAGAGCGTGCCGTGTCGCTAGCACGGATTACACAAGAACGTCCAGCATTTTGTTTGGCAAATGCCTGATCAGCCAGCACTGCTTGCATCTTTGATCGTTGCATGGCTTAAGTTGAGCTTAGCTGTTCTGTAGAACCCTTCAGGCTGTCTGCCAAGGCTTCCAAGAACTTGGGCGTATCGTTCTTCTCACGCGCTTGTGGCCGCTTAGCAGAATTCCCATACGCCCTCCTCTTGAGCCTGTGAACCGCAGTTTTACCTGCCCAAGGGTGGTACCCCCAATAGTCCTAACCGTAAATTCAGAATCGTACTCCCTCAGCGAAGATGGAACGCTCGCCTTTGATGCGGAAGGCAACGGTGGAGATACAGCGTCGGCCAGCTCGACAAGGGACTGTCAGTCTGAAGCCGAACACGGCTATGCAAAAAACAAGGAGCTTTGCGGATCCTAGGGCTATTCCTCAACTTCTTAAACAGATCCACGCGGTAAGAACTATCTGGTTTTTTCGTTGGGGTGCCACAGTCAGCGATTCGGGACTATGTAGGTGTGCGTAGCAGCTGATCAAGCATTTTGACTTATTCGGGGAGATTTTCTCCTGGATTCATTGGCCTCTTGTAACGCCTTTGGCCGTTCTTTTCAACATTGCCTTCGGGTTGATACGGTGTGCTCTCAGCTACTGTTGTGTTTCGGGGCTGCATTCGGGTGTATGTGCACTTTGCAGCCGGAAGAATATGACGAGGCTTCGTCAGTTCTACTTTGTAATTTCCCAGGTGGCATCTCTGCTGCAGCAGTCAGGAACTTTGCCGCTTGGAGTGGCCCAGTCGTCCGTGTGGAGAGAGTTCAAAGCATCGGTGGCGAAGGAAACTTTGTTGTGGTATTCTCAAACCCAGAACCAGCGGTTGTGAGTGGCGAACGTATTGTTCATGATGCAATGATAACGCCATTAGGGTGTGGGGCTAACGGGCTCTGTGGGACTTAAAGTATAGGGCAACACCATTACGGTTTGCGTTTTCCGGGTTTCCAGGCAATGCGTGCTGCCGTTGAATTCCTATATCTGGACGGGAAAACTCCGCTGTTCTGCCGTGGAGTCGACCCGCGGCCAAACTTATGGAGCAGGATTGCCTCCGTTTGGGGAGGCTCAACGCAGGTGCGTTGCATATGCGTATGGTGTTTCTGTCACTTTTGCCTTCCTAGCTGCGCGGTTGTTGGGACGGTTGATTGTTGTGGTGCACCTGTTTTTGTTTTCACGGCCACTGCTTTCGCAAGAGTTAAATAGAATTCCTGAAAAGTTCTGTAGTGGGATGCTCTATTGTCACTGCTGCCTGACTTCGTGGGGATAGATAATATGTGGTAGGTACGGTTCTCTGCCGCTGCTATGGGCTGTTTGCAGTACTACTTGGCCTCCACTGTTTTTTATTTGCTGTTATGCTTGCTCAGTGAAGCCACACAAAATTGATGGGAGAGTAACACAAACCCACCTGGGAACCCCCCCCTTGTTGGTCTCAGGCAGTCAGGAAGCCCAACGCCATGCAAAGGATGTAGTTCAGGCAGCAACGGCTTGTATACCGCTGCAATTTCTTGTTGCCTATGAGATAGAGGACGATAGAGCACTATTAGCTTTCCTTGTGACACAAGCCGCTGTTCTAGCGCAGGCAGCGCACCTTGTGGGCGAGACGGGGTGATATACACACATGTAGACCAACCGGAATGACGGAGAGATGTTGATCACACGGAGAGGACCGTGGCGACTGCAGCTGAGTGCTTCATGGCTGAAGCCTCAACTGAGCCTTAGAGTACTGAGTAACACAGCCCGATAGAGTGAGGCGTAAAGACAAAAATGCCATCGTAATTGGTGGGAGACACAGCGGCCTGCCATTGTGGTGCCGGGCTATATAACTCACACCTTGTGAAGTATTTTGGAAATCTAATTGTTCCTCTTAGCTCCTTTAATGATAGACATTTTCCGAGAGACATGGCAGGGAAGAATGAGAAAGTGGCCTTTCCACTGGCGGGAAAGGCACAGCTATGGATATGACCCGGTTTCGGTTTAAGAAGAAGTGCTAATGCGTACACCCGCTTGTCGTTCGTGCACTCAGTCGAGCTTTAAAGAACAAGCTTGCTGTTAGTGACGATGGGTAGCGTAGGCTCGTTGCAGCGTTTCGAGGTGCATGCCAGACATGAGCCTTCCTGGCACATTGCACACCTCTTCAAAATTCTTGCTGTGCATTACATGGGGGTTCCTCTATGATACTAGCTCTCTTTTTTGCTTTTGGTAGCCTTGACGGAAGTGTACGGAACCATCATTGACAGTTTAGGCTCACTTCTCCAGCGCCCTGCAACGCGGGCTTTGGCGAGAGAAGTTAAACTTGAACGCTTTCTACTGCAGTAGTTGCATTTTACTAGGGATTTGTAAAGAACCTGTCATTTGATATATTAATTCTAATTTCTTTTGTTGCAGAGCACTGTTTGCTCGATACAAGAAGATGCAGCTTATTGCGCTTGTGTGCCATGCTTCATATGCAAGTAGCTATGAATTGTAGGGGTGTCCAGAGGGCGGGAATGCACGCACCCTAGTTGCCTTTCCCCCTTATTTCGAAAACTGAGGGGCGCCGGCAGTGAAGAGGAAGCTGTGTTTAGAAGCATTTACTAATATTCTATCAAGTCTGTATTGAAATCCGGAGTTAGTAATCTTCTGCCAAACAATAGATAAAGCATTCCGGTTGGTAACACGGCATGGTTCGATGCAGCTGTTCATAGCTCATCCACTGGCTGTTCATGAAGTGGAATGTCAGGCTTCCTCACTTCATTTGTCTGTTTCCAAACAAGGCGCATGGTAGTTTGATTGTTGTCAACAGACTGGTAAGAAAGCGCTGTGGCAATGAAAGTATGTGGCTCCACAATGCCTATCAAGGCGGCAGGGGCGGTCCTGCTAGGTTATGTGAACGCTGTTGCTCCACAGCTCCGAGAAGGGCATGATTTGTCAGCCAATAGAATACTTATGGATGCATCGATAAGCTTATACCGACCAGAAAAATATGACAGGAGTACAGACAGCCGAGTGTGCATAAACTTCATCAGCCGGATCGGGATTGAACTCGCTTTGTACCCCTTACACGAAGTTTGGACCTTTGCGGAATGCCTAATGCAAGGAGACTCACTCCAATGGTTGCCATACCAAAACAAGAGAAGTTTTCTGACTGCGGATCGCTACATTTTAAGCCTTTATACACGCCCTGACTCATCAATTTATGTCGAGATCAGCTGATAATCATGGGCAGTGACACAGACACTGAACCAAACTGGTGGGTCCCTGGAATTGATGAACAACGTGAGGTTTCCAGAGCGAAGGAGATTACTATATACGTTTTTGGGTAAAGGAAGATACGAAATCGGGTTTTAGAATATATGGAAACCGTGGCTGCGGGAAATGGCCTAAGTATGCAGTCCAAGTTGAACGCGAACAGAAAGCCAGAGAAAATCGCGCTTTTAGGGAGCCCCGGTACAATGCTCCTGCATGCACTGCGGGAGATCGGGTCATATAAACCAAAACATCAGCCATACGAAAAATTTGAAAAAACATGCATAGCAGGACTGCTCCTAGCAAAAGGAATATGTTTGGCGAGCACAGAAGGTGCATAAAGGAGACAGAGAACCTTTACTCAGGCTGCGGCGGAGCGAAGGGAGCAGCAGAGAATAGAGCCGCATTGGGACTGCCACCGCGATGCAATGGTGCAAGCTCATATTAATGAACAAGATCTAGCGCTTCTTCTAGAAGGATATGAGATGTGTCTGTTGAATAAGGTGACGGCGCAGAAATGCAAGCTGCCTGGTCACCCACCAGCACAGTCCTTAAGGCTCAGGTTTGCTGACGGGAGGCACATCGCAAGGAGTGGCAAGTCAACGCCAGCTAAAGGCTATCTTGAGCTAGGTTTTAGTAGCATGATCCGTGGTTTCTATGCTGGATCCGTGCACCCTGATTTAATCCTAGATATGCCACGAATGACCTGATAGAAAGCGTGGGTGAAACCACAGCTCCGCGATGTGGAGGTTAGTGTGCCATAAAGCGGTGGAAAAATACCTCTTGGTCTTCCCAATGGCGCTTACTCACTCTATGGTACGCGTAGGAGAGACGGTATAACAACGAGGTGAAGTAGAGTCTTCATGCGGGGGACACAGGCAAGTACTGAAAGAAGGCTGTTGTGAGCATGCATCCCGTCTTAGCGGCTGTGCAACGGGTTCTTTATTGAAGATGTTCACTTTAGCGCCCAGCTAAGGGAGAGCAGGAACAGGCTAATATCAAGAGGGAGTGTGTAGATGTGCAAAATAATGATGAGCTGCCGGCAGGCTGGGTACCTGCCAGTGGTCCAGTGCATCGTTCTAAACTAATCCCCAACCTTGTAGCAAGCAATCTTCGGCAGTATCGAAAATCCTGAACCATAAAGAAGATACTGACTTGCAGCCGGATGATTTGTTTAAATAGCCAATGTATAGGTATCGACCAGCGCCTTTGGCCCACACCCGGTGTTGATGCCAAAAAATGGCGAACGGTGCCGCATGCGCGCAAACATGAAGCCCCCAAACAAAATTGCTGTGACGCAGAATTTCCCATGTCTCGGTGGT